CGTTATGTGCAGTATTATAGGGGTCTCTAATATCACTGCGACGAAACAAGCTGCAGCAGCAGAGCAGGTCCTGAGATAGACAACAGAAAGGTGCAAGACAGCAACAGTTGTGTCTAGGAGGCTCCCTATGTGTAATCTCAGTTTGAGACACACTCGGGGACAATAAGCATTTGTCGTCGGTTTCATGCTTCTTTTAACAAACAGCCTCAATATGGGGGGGGGGGGGGGGTAGGTTACCACACCAGAATAGACTCGGACTCGGCAACGGATATCGAAGAGAAGGAAAACTTATTTGGTGGAATCGTAAAAGTGTCGGGGAGAAGAGAGCAGGTTGAACAGGGAAAAGGGGAGTCTGTGTGTGTGTGTGTGTATGTTCAAACACTAGGCTGTAAACACCCTATCCAGTTGTCGAAGGGCTCGCATGTCTTCGCCAAACCCAATCTTCTCGCTGGGGATGTCCTTTGGCCCGTCACCTGCCATGCCGGGAGCTGGAACTCCCTGGTGATAGCCTGGTATACGGGCACCGTCATTGAGTGGCGGACCGTTCATCAGAGCGTTTATGCTGGGTACAGCAGTGGCCGATGAAGCGGGCGGAACATCAAGAGGGTGGGCATGAGCGTGGCCATGCACTTGAACGTGGCTGTGACCATTTTGCTGTGGACTTGACTGCTGGGGAGATCCATTGATATGTGACAGGCCAGGAGATTTTATGGGTGTATGGTGCAGCGAGCTCATTGCTTCTCTTGGTGAGTGTGAACCGGTAGATGATACACTATGTCGTGGGTCTGGTTTACCGCCGGCCTGATAGACTGGCTCTCCGGGTCCCATATGGCCAGCCTGGGGGTGACTTGGTGATCTTGCAGTGGCGTAGTAAGGATACCCGCGAGGACTAGCACTATGGCTGTTGCTGGCATGAGCAACGGGGCCAGGCGGAGCATCAGCCGGATGAGGCCGGTCGTACTGTGGCGGGTAGACTGGCTGAGAGGGCGGCATATGGGGGTGCTGGGGGTGCTGGGGGTGAGCGTATTGATACTGCGGAGGGCCGCTGGCGCCTGAGAGTGGCGGAAGATAGCTTCCTGGGGGATATCCAGGTTGTGCAGGATGCGGTTGTCCATTCATCGGCGGTGGGTGTGCCACCGGCCAGTTATAAGTATTGGGAGAGTACCCATGCGGGTGAGCTGCCGCCGGACGAGCATAGTGCTGTACAGGAGGCGGTACTGAGAAAGCAGTGCCGGCCATAGGCCCTCTAGTGACCACCGGGAGGTTCTGCTGGTCGTTGACGCTGGATTCTGGATATAGGCCCTTTTGCGGCTGTATATGCCGTAACGACGGGTCGGTCGAAGGCTGGTTGAGGCCAGGAACGGTTGGATGAGACCGGGCATAGTAGCTGATCAAGTGAAGATGCTGTCCGGTCGAGGTTGTTATGCTGAACGACTGTTTCATGAGTCCGTCTGGCTTGTACCGGTAGCCGTCAGGGCCCTCTTCACCACCCTCGCCACCGTCTTCATCGCTGCCTCTAGTGCTGTCTGGCGTCTTCCCGGCCCTCGAAGCCTGAGCAGCATGGCTGCCTCCGCGCTTCCCTTCCATCTCTCTGTATGTCAAGAAACTGCCTGATACCCTGCTGGCGCTCCATGACTTGCCGTCTGTCCATCGCCGCATGCCAGCTTCCCGCTCGTCCCAGACGAACACGGAGCCCGACTTTATCGACTGCCTCTCTTTTTCTGATAGTCTCCTCTGGACTCTGGGCAGCAAGCCGATTCGACATGCTTCGAACAGGATGATCGCGTCCGCAGGCGTGCGAACATGGCCGTGATATGTCTCCATCGGCGCCTGTGCTGTGTGTCTCAGGCGCAAGCGCGTAGAGAAAAGAAACCGTTCGACTGCTCGACCAAGGGGATCTCGCGAGTATGGATTGATATCTAGACAACGTCGTTCTCGTATGTCTCTCCCTCTCTCTCCTTTTTTTTTATTTTCTTTTTTTTTGTTTCCCTTTTATTTTCTCTTCTTCATGTAAGATCTACCGGCGGTTTTTGTGATTAGCGATGACGTTCTCTCTCATTCAAGGGTTTTTCAAGCGCCGACTCTCAAATATCCCGGGGTGGAGAAACAGCAACGGGGAGAAAAAAGACAAATATTTATTTGATAGCGCACCGCCGCAGAGAATGACCAGAATCTGCAGATTACACTCTGTTTATTACTGCTAGCGAGGTGAAAACCGCAGTAAAAAGAAGATAATACCCGGAAAAAGGGAGGGAAAAAAAAAAGAAGAGATTTGGGAGGGGCAGCAAGCGAGGAGCAACGTTAGATATAAGAGCAGCCAGCACGAAAACGACGACAACAAAGAGTAGAAGGTGGTAAGTAAAAGGGGAGCATCGACGGTTAGAGCAACTTCTGAGACAAAGATTCTAGTTCTTACAAGCCGTGGACAAGCAAATATCGCAGCTGGTGCGGCCGGCGGCAACAGCACAGCTAAGATCGAGAACACGCCGAACTAGATCTGAGGCCACGCAAACAAGGCGAAAAGAAGACAACAACAAAACAGGAGCTATGGCAAACTATAAAGGCCAGCTTACCTATGGCTTTGGTCTTTGACACCCCTTCGATCGCCGTCTACCTGTCTGTGAAGGCGCTTAAGCTGGAAGTGAGGTGTTGACTCGATCCACGGGGCTGTAGACGAAGAATGCAAAAGGTTGAGAGAGGAAGAGAGGGAGCTAAGAATAAAACTGGGTAGCCTAGGAGTATATGTAAGTGAGAAAAAGCATCAGCCCTGAGGAGGCTTCTGGCTCCGGTGGATTTCTTGCGGTTCTTTAATTTTGTTTAAATTTTTATAGACTTTGCAAATAAAACAAGGAGCCGGCAAGAAGCAAAGAAGAGGCAGCAAAAAGAAAAAGCACTTTGCAGAAGAAGAACGAAGGAAGATTGGATGGCAGACATGCCACGTGAGATGCAAAGGGGAAGCCAGAGCAGAACAAGACGAGTGGACGGTGGACCCGTACGCAGGCTTGTACCGCCAGGGGAGGGGGGAGGAGAAGACTGAGCATCCATCGAGTCTATCAGGAGCTGACGGAGGAGGAGGGCATGCTTGTGTCTTTTAATATAGCAGCCCAGGACGAAGTTTGTTACTCCGTATACTCCGGACTTACATTATATTACTACTTACTCTCCAAGGCTGAAGGCTGACGAACTGACAGAGAAAAAGGATGGCAAGAGAGCAGCATCTCGTTTCTGCCAGATCCACTGCCCAGCGCGGGTTTCGTATTACAATTATGAGAGAACAGCAGCAGATCGATCCTCTCCGCTGCCATTGCCGCCACAGAGAGTCATTCTTTTATTATTATTATTATTTCTTCCCCAGCATCGTTGCACGAACCAAGAAGCAGTCACTTGCCGAGTTACACTGCTGATGGGCGAGGGGGGAAGGGATAATGGAGGAAGGGAGCTTTTTCTCTTATCTCTTTTTCAAGGCGAGGTACGCCGACCTGGCACACTGGGACATGGCATGCTACAAAAGCGTTTTATAGGACGCAGGCCAAGCAAGTGGATAGTTAACTAAACTGAAATGATCTGAAAAAAAAAAAAAAAAATAAAAATAAAAAGAAAGGAAAAAAAATAGGGGAGGGGTTGGGGGGGAGCGCATGGCATGGCACGGCGCTGGCTGTGGCGACGGGCGACTTCTCACTCTGTCCCTCCTGACAAGATATTCCAACACCAAGAGCTTGGGAACGTTTTGACGGAGAGGTATATATATATATATATATATATAGTAAAGAAAAATAAAAACAGGTTAAGCTTGGATTGCTAAGCACTGGTCGGTAGCCAAAACTGTTAGTTTGGCGAGGCCAGGCCGCTCCCTCCTGCTGCTTCGTCCCGAAAGGATGCAAAAGCCACGTTGTGCTTTTTGAGAACGCAAGGCAAAAAAGAAAGCAAAAGAAAGCAAAGCTTGGCCGAAAGTTTGTGGCGTCTTGCTCGCAACCCCCCTCTGCCCTCGTTCTCGTCATGCGGCTAAGCGGAATGGCTGATAAGTGCTATCTCAGCTCTGTATCAGATGGAGGGTCTGGCAGAGTGTTGGGTTAACTAAGACCTAAGCTCCAAAAGGCACGCCCGAGCAGCAGCAGCAGAATCAGGGAAGCGAACGATCGATTGTTTGACTGCCCGTCGATCCATGGCCCAGCGGCCTCATCGTCCTGCTCCTCGCGCATCTCCCTGCGCCGCCGCGGCAGCACCATCCCGCAGCACTCGCACTGCACTGCTGCTCTGCTGCTCTGATGCTCTGATACTCTCAACAGCCGCCTCCTGTCTTGCTTTCTTGACTTGCTGTCCTGCTGCTTTTTTTTATGTAAAAAGCCCAAGCAGCAACTCTAATACGCCCCTTGCCGCAAACTTTAACCCTTTTCGTACCGCAAAAAAAGAAGCAAAAAGCCAAAAACCTTAAAAACCTAAAGTGGACTTGGCATTACGCTTATTACTAATGGTGTTACACTGTGATCCTTGTTTATCGTCTGTGTTATTAATAATATGTTGTGTTTTTGTTTTGTAATTTTTGTTTTATTTTTTTTTTTCCTCGGTGTTGCTGCCCATCGCGGAGGGTTGTGTTATATGGTAAGCGAAAGGCGGGGGACGGGGGAAAGGGAGTGAATCGGTCGGATGGGCCAGGGTGGACGCTGGACGCTGGGTGTGGTGTTGGTCACTCGCGGTGAGGGCGAAGCATTGCCGTCTCAGCGTGGAACGGTGGGTTTGCCTGTGATCGTTTGCCGGATGGCTCGGCCCAAACGTCATAATTTTTCTGCTCCTGACGTGGGGCGTGTTCGAAAGGGAAACGGTAAAATCGGAATATCGAGAGCAAGATCGCCGGCATAGTACCTTGGCTGGGCAGCCTGTTGGTTGGGAAAGAGTACCACCGTGGGGCCCAGAAAGGCCCATACAGCCTGTCCTCTCGTTCGCTGTCCACTCGCGAACTCTTCCAGGACAATTTTAAAGAATTTAAGAATACTAAGCATGTCCACGGACCACAGCCAAGTCTCTTAGTGCTTTTCTTTTCCGCTCTGAGGCGTGGACGGTACTCTGCTTCGTGCCGCTTCTGTACCCTTATGTCTCCTTGACATGCGGATCAATGCATGAGCCACGATGTTATTTTCCGCTGTCTGTTGCGGCCATCACGTTTTGCAAAAAGGAGACATCACCCCCTTGGCAGTAGTGGGAGAGGGAGGGGGGAGGGAAAGGGGGGGAAAAGCAAGGGGAACAGCTAAGAGGGATACAACTCCTCCGTCGATGGGCCGCGGAAATCTAGGCGAAGTTGGCCTGTTGAGCCAGCTACCCTTGGCGTCATAGTACCGTACATACTCCGTACGAATACCGCCATTAATACCTTTGACGCTGCCAAGTTTATAAGCGAATTCGCGGGTCCATTGGCGGAACCTTAATTATGCTTAGGAAGGTTAAATTCTATCGTCTTCTTCGCGTTTGTGGGGTTGGCTCCGCTGCACGCCAAAAGGAGCAAAGATGCCTACATATCATCAGATTCGGATGCTGGACTCTCTTTATTATGGCCTACAAGGGGAAATATATGACTCGCAAGGGGAAAGGGGAGATCTTCGCTTTTTTGCTGAATTGTGAATGGGACGTTGCTCAGCTAACGCATGGGTTAATCGCCGACACTCTTCGTTTTCGCGCTCGGGTGCCAACTTATCATACGGAAAAGAACCTGTTGGGTCTGGCGATAAAGGTCCTCCTCCCCCCTGAGTCAGCATCTGGCTTTATTTTGTTCAAATGATTCATAACCGCCCTATCGCCATGCTGCGAACAGGCGAAAAAATAAAATAGATTACGAGAAGAGCGTGGGGAAAACCCAGCCACATGAACCCGGAATCCTTTGGGAATGGCCCCCCGTTCTTACATCCTCCAGAAATACATGTATACACACCGTCGTATACTCATGTAATTCCGTCCTTTTGCCTTGAGAATGCAACGACCTGTGACGTCCAGAGAGCCAAGCCTGCCAAGCGGAAATATCACACTTGCTTTTCTCCCTGTGGGGGGTTTTGTGGCGTTACGGATAGCTAGTTGATTGTTGTGCAGCTATTTTCTGACACAAGACGACAACTCGATTCTTATTTTACATGGAATATTAATATTAGCTAGACGAGCAAGCGAGAAAGACAAACGTTAGCCGAGGCGTTGGTTATGCTTCGTACCGCGCCTCAAAGGGGGAGGAGAAGAGCGTGCGGAGAGAGACTTTTTTTTTTAAGGGGTTTGGGATAAATAGCTCGTTCGCAACACACCATTCCAACCCAGACTATTTAGCATCCAACTAGTGAGCTGGATGTACTCTGAACTCTGGAAACCGGGCTGGTAGGCGGACAGGTGGCTGGCTAAACCCCGACACAGGGACACACTGCTTTGATTGTTCGGGGCTCAGGAGCTGATGTGGTGCTGAATTTTCTGTGCTCAGCTTTGTTCTTCTTCACTGTTTTAACAACCGCAAACCGAGGTTGAGCAGCAGCATGATATCCTCGATGGTTGGTTCTATAACAAGCTTTATGTAGCCAAAAGCCTTGGCCGGAGTAACTCAACCTGCTCCCCATTTCCGGTCGGACTGCACGCCTGTTGGCTGTCGGGGAAGCGCTTCCGTTGGGTCCCTCGTGGGCTTTGAGATATCCAACATCTCCGTCAAAGAGTGAGGAATTAAGGAGTTGATTGCCGTCATCGGCGGAGCAACCTTTCTGCTGGATCCTCGGTGAAGTGCCGGGGGGGGAGGGGGGGATAGGGAAGGCCCCAGGGATAAGGCATGATGGCCGAATGTAGACCAATTATTATTAACTACCTCATCTGTTTGTGATGATGAGTGATACGTGCGACGAACCATGATCAGCGGTGGAAATTAATAGAGACATTACCCGCGTCCTTCATCCATATGCCCGTTGCGTCTGGCAATAACAAGGCGATCGAACTCCGTAGGGCAAAATAGTTTGGACAGGATGGCTGGCACATCCAGCGCTCATTTAATCTGAGGCCCTGGCCTGATAATGCGCTCATACCCTAACTGGTTTCCATGTGCGGGATGAAAGGAGCTAAGTTCGATAGTATGAGGGGATTGTTATGTCGGACGCCGGCAGAGCAGAGGGTCACTTTATGTTTCTGTGCAGATATCATGCAGGGGTGGACAGAGAGTAGTAAGTATAAGATAGGTATTTCCACACGCTCGGTGGATGAAACGGAAGCGAATGTGGTCATGATCAAAAGAATTATTGCTCGTAGGAACTCAGGCAGGGGCTAATTGGCCGCCACTACAATGCTCTGTTGAGGGCCAAATGCCCAAATATATATAAACAAGTGCCATCTCGGCTGCACGAAAGCGCAGAAAATGTATCATCGTTGCGAAAAAAAGGGTCTACGTACGACGGTGTTCTGGCGTGACAGAATTATCAATATCAGAATCGAATTAATTGATAATATTAATCAACACGCAAGAAAAATGAAAAATGAAAAATGAAAAAAAAAAAAAAAAAAAGAAAAAGAAAAAAAGGAAGAAGGAAGAGGCACATGCGCCGAATTACTAGCGGTTATTTTTGTTGGCGTTTATTGGCAGAGGTGTGGAGAAAACTGGGCCCGGTTAAGGTTATCATTAGGGTTTTTAGTTATGCATAATTTCGAGCGGGCTCCACCGCAAGCCAAGAAAAAGTAAATATACACTGCAATATATAGAAAGGAAGACGCCAACGAAAGCAGTGAGCCTGGCGTTGGAGATGAAGGGTGAACGTTCATAAAGGCTTCCCAGGTATATAGAGCAAAAATTCTTCGACCCAAAGTGACATGCGCGTCATTCTGCACTCTTGTATCGCACATTATATGAGCTTATCCGGTGCAGCTCACCTTTCTTTCCCTGTGTTGTGCTTGAATTAGAAGTGGACAAGAAAAACTGTTGGGTACCGGATGTTTTCTCCGATCACCCCAAGCAAGTTTTTTCTTCTTCTTTTCTTGTACATCCACCTTGGCAGCAACAACTTTAAAAACGTGTAATTTTCGCATAAACTATGTAAGATAGAGAGATGTATACAAAACGAGCATAAGGAAAGAATGCTTTTCCGCATCCGCATCACAACACGGGGTTCGAATCTTTGCTTGGTACGTACCATTCTGTACGTTTGGGTTTCAGTAATTGTAATCGCAGGGTTAATCGCCAAATAAGCATGCTACATACTACGTAATGGCTTGCGCATCCGTTCATCCCTTTACCATTATTATATGTATGGGTCCATCTACTTCCTAATAAAAGGGCACTAAATACCATGGATGAAGAATACGTGAGTAAATAGATGAAATGGCTTTTCCAGATCACGGGTATGTTGGGCCACCGATACTCCGTCCACGAACATCGCCGAAAAGGCTTAAAAATACCCATCTACTAAAAGGAACCATGACAATGGCTTGTTTTTGTTCCTCGTATTCGGACATTTTTATCGAGTGATAAAACCTCACAGAGGCAGGATGATGCGCTCCAGACCCCACTTCCCTAAGCCCAGGGAAAGCCACATTTATCGATGAATTGACAACAAAATCCAGAGTACAACAGCAAGAAAGAGAAGAGCGGTAGCACGACTAAAACTGTTCCTCTATTTTGTCCTCGCCCGATTATCAACCACCCAAGGGTTGGATTAGGTGCTGAACGGATCGGCGTCGGGATTCGTTGAGATCGGCTGAGTCGGCTCAAACAGGCCGGCAGCTTGCCGCATCTGAGCACAGGCAGACAGGGCTCAGGCATGTTCTCGAATACGCCACTTTGTTCACACTCCTTGCAGGCAATGGTCGATGCCTGTCCGGGCGGGTGAATCACATCGACGCCCAGGTGTACGATTTTCGGTATCTACCCAAATCCCGACGCTCGTGTGGGAATTCGTTTCCCTTTCTTAGAGACGTTAGCGCAAAATACTTCCTGGCCTCCAAGGACCTGGTCCGTCTGGTCGGGTCGCAGAAGCTGAGCCAAGAGCCCGTTTGAACTAATGTGACCTTCCAGAAATGCCATCACAACAAACGCCCCTCCCTTTTTTTCAATGGTTTCATGCAGGGTGGCGTCGTTTTCGCTAATTAGCGGAATGAAGAGCCGCGAATAGGGCCAGACATCCAGAGTACGGATACAGATTCACTGTTGATTAATGTAAGAGTTCTTCTTCCCTCTCTGTGTTCGCGATGCACTGGGTTTCTAACATATTAATACGAGGGAGGAGAAGCGTACGTGATTACCATCTTGTATGAACGAAAATGGCGAGTATCGTTTCGGCGGACGGAAGCTTAAAAAGGGGCGGGCCGTGATATGCCACCCAACTGTCAAGCCCCCAGACAACGAACGGATCCTGTCGTTGGTTGAGCCAATTTTTTTTTTTTTTTTTTTTTTTTTTACACTTGCTGAGCAGACCCAGGCTGCTGCGACCTCGTCAAGGCACCGTTGGAATGGTCGACCGCATCATACCCGCTGAGCTTGATTGTCATCCCGCTGCTGTGCGAGTAAAAAGGTCGAAATGAAAAAAGGTACAAAGATATTTCACCTTGAACCTTACGTCGCATATTTGCAAGAAGCAAGCATGTCCGTCGGCGATAATCTCGCATATGCATTGGGGAAAGTGGCATTTCTTTCTTGGGACGGCAGCCTTGAAGTAACAGGTAACATCTAAGTTGGGTTTAGTGATTGCGGGATGGGCTGTTGACCTTATCACTCGCATGACTTGAATGCGAAGAGATTCTAATAATAAATATGTATTAGTTATCCCACGCAAACGGAGACGCCGTACGATGAAGCGCTTTACTTGCTTTTCTTCTCCCTTGACTAGCCACGATGCTGAGTCGGGCCATACCATTGAACCAGCATCCTTGCCTTCCAATGCAGCAGGAAGAGATCGGAATACGAGGTGATTTCTGATTCTTAACCTCTTTCTGAGCTCTTTGCGGGGTAACTTTCCCTTCTTAGTCTCCAACCCTTGCCATGGTGATGGGTCGCTTGTTTTGTTTCGAGCTCTGAAGGATGGGGAAGGTTGGCAGGCAGGATGGAAAGTGAGAAAGTGCTGGGCTTAGCATTCCCATCCACCCATCCTCTGAACGCCAAACCCGAGTTCTCCAGACCTCCGGCTTCTGCAGGATAATTCTCACCCAGAGTTGCATGTGGACGGCATGCGAGGGGAAAAAAAAAAAAAAAAAAAAAACCCAAGCGGACGGGTTGGCCCTCGTTCCTTTTGAAAGGAGTAAGAAGGCTTCCTTTGCGGTCCGACTAGGAATGATGTCGTGGCGTGAAGGGTTGGTCAAATCATCGATCAATCAATCACCTTCAGATGGGAAGGGAGGATATATGGACTACCAGTCAATGATGATTGATCAAGCAAAAATAGACGGCCAACTTTGACACAGATAAGGGCAAAGCGATCATCCCCCCAGTTTCACTTTCGCCCTATCCCATAAGCGCCAAGAGCTCCAAGGTCTTGTCGTTTTCTTATATCTTCCTTTGAGCAGATGAGGAGGGATATATTATTTATCTCCGGTTTTGGGTCACAGAGATGCCATTTGCCTGTTCCCATTCCGTTACGCAACCACACACCGAACGCTATCACCTGTTGAGGCATGTGGATATATCCTTAAGACTTAAATTCAACAGAACCTGTCATATGGATCACACTGAAGACAAGAAAAGAGGTGAGAACCCAATATGCTTTGACGTGCCTTACCCCAGAAAAAAGGGCTGGAAATGATATGTAAATCACTTGCCTGCGGTGTTCATTCACCATGGATTCGGAGATATCCATGGAAACAAACATCAGGCGGAAACGAACCTGATGGATATTGCGGGTCAACCAAAAACAAAAAACAATTGTTGAATCTATTTGTACAACCCGTCCCTTCTTCTATATATATCGTACAAGTATGCCGGTGGAGACTACCAAGACACGCAGTCGTTTAGCAATCCGCCCTTCCAAAATGCCTGGGGAAGGGGACAAGGTCTCTGAGACTGGATACGCCAGCCAAATACCCGACGAAGCGATCAAAGCCTAGTCCAAATCCGCCATGTGGTACGGTCCCCCACCTTCGCAGGTCTGCGTACCACTGGATCGAGCCTAATTCCTCATTAGCGAGGAGATGAGGGTAGGGAGCCTTGGCGTCAACGGCAGCAGAGGGTTCAGGCGTTGAATCTTTCAGTTTCAGCAAGCCGTGCTCGCGCATATTTTGGATGAGCGGTGAAAGTCTATGTTCACGGAGCGACCCGCCAACTACCTCACATATCTCCGGGAGAAGGAGGTCAAAGCATGCAACCGTCTCCCCGTTTTCGTTAGACGAGCCGCTTGAAGGTAACATATAGAATGGTTTGACAGCCTTAGGGTAGTCAGTAACAAAAATAGGCAAACCTTTGCCAATTGTATCAACAAGGAATTTTTCATGCTCAAGCTGCAGCCCCCCCGACCAGGATGGAGAGAATTCAAATGCGACTCGACCTGTATGGACAGCCTCATCAAGGTGTTTAATCGCATGTGCGAATGTAATACGTGGCCACCGGGGACCCTCCATTAAAGCCCTCCATCTCTTTTCTAGATCCGCAATGCTGGTATCCTTTGTCAGGTCATCGGCAACTTTAAAACTGAAAAGCTCTCGCGCCACCGGGGAGTTATAAACTCTTTGAGTCGTATTGCGTAGAAGCGTTTCCACGAAGGCAGTGAGCGGCTCGAGGGAATCCATATAGCTCATTTCTACTTCGAGCATGTAGAATTCACTCAAGTGGCGGGGTGTGTCGCTCTTCTCTGCTCGGAAGGTGGGAGACAGAGTCCAAACATTACCCAATTCTGCCGCGTAAGCTTCAAGATGTAATTGTGATGAAACGGTAAGATATTTAGGCGATTTGAAAAACTCAATCGCCTTACCTTCCTCAGTCACGAAATCTCGAGGTTTTATACTAAAAACTTCCCCTGCTCCTTCACAATCAGAGGAGGTAATTAATGGTGGCTGAACTTGGACAAAATTGAGATGACGGTGGGAGCGGAATTCCTCTGTCACTTGGTATATGAACTCAGATCTCAATCGGGAGAGAAGGGCATTGAATGGGGTACGTAGGCGTAAATGTGGTAACTGGCGAAGGAAATCTGGCGTGTGAAATTTCTTTTGGATCGGGTATGTCTGGGTTGAAGGTGACGCTTGTTAGCAAAATGACATAATAAGGCAAACAGACGAAAATCATATATAGAATATAAACAAAACACAAATATATGCAGGAGGGGGGAAAGGAATTTACCGCAGGATCCGCCTCTCCCACAATGTCAACTTTTGTTGCTTGAAGCTCATGGGATTGCTGTTTGCCCGGAGGACTTGGTTGCCATATCCCTGTAACCTCAACTGCAGCACCCTGAGTTAAGCTACGCAACGTCAATTACTCTCCGCGACAACTGATTGATTTCTCAGCCCTAGCAAGTGGTTCTAAACGGGCAATATGTTGTATTCTGAGGCTCGGGACGTACTTTGTTGCTTGTTCTGGGGTCAAGACTGCTTGGATTGGTTGGAGGGACGAACCGTCCGAGATATGCGCAAATGCAAAGCGTTTTTGCTTCCTGAGAAACCTGACATGGCCCTGCACACGTAGTTCCTTGTGATCGAGGGAGCTTGGCCCTGTAGCTGATTTTGATTGTTCAAATATCTGCGCACATCGAAGTGTGATCGGGTTGGTTTGAAGGTCACTAAATCGTGTTGGTGTGGTTGAGAGGCACCTTCGGTATAGAACAGTCGAACGTTTCCCAACTGAGCTCGCCCAGAGGGGTCCCATCCTTCCAGAAAATGGGCCCATCGGGTCTCAGTCTCCTGTTGATGAGCTTGACGGCCCCGGAGCTCAACAAATGCTGAAAGATGACAAAAGAGCCGCGATGGCTTGGCAGAGACAAGTCACGTGTGAAAACTTAAAAGCAGCCGCAACTAAAAAGGAGAACGAGCCCGAATGAGAACAAAGATGACTACCGCATATGACTACTACATAGAAGGCAATGAAAGTCCCTTACTATATGGTACCTGTAAAAAGTGGAAGGGAGTGAAAGACATTAAAAATGTGAAAAAGACAAAAAGAGAATGGGCCCGAGCCGCGATTCGAACGCGGGACCTCTCGCATATAAGTACTTAGGGTTAAGGCCCTAAGCGAGAATCATAGCCAACTAGACCACCCGGGCGAGTTCGTTACAGGGAGGAAATGGGATGCTTACTACACCCTTAGAAGAGTTTTGCGGCTAAATAACCCCCGCTGTATACTATACGGGAAGCTCTGAGATATCGCCACTACGAGTCTCATTGTTCGGTAAAAATAGTCTCAATGGTGGTCAGTATTAATATTTCATTCTAGAAAGGAACTATAAAGGTAAAATGCGATAAGATAGCATGCCTCTCCGTGCACCAGAAACATCTAGAAGTGACAAACATGAAACAGCTTATAAGAACATGATAACAAATAACTAATGGATATCCAAATGGAATTCAAATGTAAGAAAACTAATTCGAGGCTGCGTATGGAAACGGAGTATAGCATGGCAATGATTCTCTTGGTAGCAAAGCATGGTCGTGTTCTTACCATAACGCCTGCCTTCATTTCTCGTAGGTTGACTGACTACTAGGCCACAAACTGAATCCTATCATGGCCGCCAGGTCAAACCGCAATATTGAGGGTTATCCAGACTGGCTGAGCAACAGATCCTCGCTGCTCGGTCCAACCGACGGCTGTAAGGCTCTGAGAGACACGACGCTTCATATTATCATCACCGCCACGGCGACCTCCGATCCAAAATTCTGAACCTTTGAGCCATGTCCCATCGCCAATCTCAAGACACTCTATGATCCCACGGCTCGCGACATCGCGGCCATCCGGTGTCTTTGTCGGACAGAGCTGATCTATGAGTTCTGAGATTGACATCGAAGAAGGAACACGATAGGAGCGCCATTGGAAAGTGCCACCAGGATTGTCCCAGGGGGCAGTGAATGCCTCGATAATATGTAATGTAGTATGCTTCTTCGGGAAAATATAGCCCTGCCCAGTTGGAAGGACCATAGCCCGTTCGCTATCTGGAGGATATGCACCGCTAGGTAAGCGACGGCCTTGAGCTGGAGCCGCAGCAGGTGGGCTTGCCGGAGATGGGGCCTGAGTAGCGGTCGGGCTTGGGTTGGGAGCCCTAGGTGGAGATGAATCTGGCGCCATCGGCGCTGGAGCGGGAGGTGGAACGTTGGTCGTAAAGGTTTGGTGTAATATTACCTGATCTGTTAGCCCATACTAGACAATGTAGATAGCTAATAGGAAAGTACTAACCTGTGGTGCAGGGGCATCTGCAGCCGGAGCTGGGGCTGGGGCCGAGGCGGGCGGCGGACCTGGGGGAGGGTTCTGTATAAAGGGGTATGCCATGAAGTGCGGTATATGAAACGCTTGGAGAAAGGCGAAATCTTGGGGAGGCATTCCTCCAAGGGGTGGGCCATCAGGGCTGATGTATCTCAATTCTGCCATGGTACCTAATGAGTAAATCTGTTTGCGTTTTGAGAAGCACTTGGAACGTTTGCTGGGCTGTATAGTTGAGCACCTGGAGCAAATGTACCCTGGAAAAAGTGTGGTTTAAACAACTAGAAACCGAAGTTGGCGAAAAAAGGAAGTATGTGCAAAGAAAGAACAAAAAAAGAGGCATTTTTAGGAGCGAGGGAATCGATATCTGGATTTATAGATCCCTTCCTTAACGTTCTATCGACAATCGACTTCACCTATTTCTTACAAGGCGGCCATGGAGATTACCTGTGAATAAATCATGAGACGACAGGGCAAATCAAACATGTCACTACAAAGTTGTCCCATGGGGAGTGTGACAAACTCCACCAGACCAGGACGGGGCTGCCAGAAGCAAAGGGGAATAATAGCTGGAGGGAATCTTGATTTTCATGGCAGTGAAGGCCATGTAGTTGAAGGGATGGGTATGTGTCGTAGTCACTGCGACCAGAGTAACCAGAACCCAAGGGACCTAACTTTGGAGAAACATGACTCCTGGCTTCACGGGTATAACCGGTCATTGCTATTTGACCCAAAGGTGACTCAAAACTGTTTGATTGTTTGGGCAGGGGGTTCAGCCACTATGTCCAGAGACAACGGCGAGGCTCTCATATATCTTCTGCTTCACAGCAAGGAATGTTCCGGCATTCTGTTTCAAAGCCGTCGAATAGTTCGGTGATGGCCGAGCAGCGCCTTCAACTTCTATCCTGCCTGCACCGGCCTTTCTCACAGCAACAAAGCCATCGACAAGAAGTGTGCCTTCGCCTCTGAACTCCGCTGAATGGCCAGAGGACTGCATAAGCTTACGAAGATCAGAGAGACGGAGGTCGCCAACATGCAACGGCTTTGTGACCGACCTTGTTGCAGCAACAAGGCTAGCAGGTAGGATATCAAGGACTGGTATTTTTTCGTTTTTGATAAGAGACTGGTTGGCTTGACTCTCCACGGGGCCAGTCGCCTTCCACGCCTCCCCTTTGCCCTTGTTTTTAGACTGCTCCAGCACTTCTTCTTGCAACAATATAGCTTGCGAGGACTGCAGATTCCCCACAAGAGCCACGACACCTAGATTGCTGACGTTCTGCCATTTCAAACGCCGCACCAACGGGCGACTTAGCCTGACCATCCAAGCGTTCGTGTCAACGCTGGCATCAACAGTGTCTCCTCTGGAGGGAGTAAATACATCAACAGCAAGCTTTGTCGTTGATGTAGTACCAGCTCCTCGATTCGCGGCCAACAAGTTCCTGCATTCCGCGGCAAGTGACATAGTCTCGTCCTTTGTACCTCCTATCAGGATCAAGTTGCGGGGCTGGATAAGGGGTATTAGCATTTCCAAGCTCCGTTTATCATGCAAACCGGCGAAATCCACAAATGCCAGTCGTGCATTTAATGAGATGGAAGAGTGTACTATGGTGGCTTTCGATGGCCCTTCAATAAGGGTCTGGCTTTCGGTATCTTCCTCTGACGCCTCGGCATTCTCAACATCGCTGCTCACCAGACCGTTAGGTGGGGATGGCCCATCGTTGGGTATGTAGACATTATCTGAAGGCTGTGATGTCTGACGTCTTTTGTTGGGGCCATTAGTAGCACCAGCGCCAGTCTTGTCCCAGCGACGCTTTTGGCCAGGGGTTGCTGGGGCATTTCCAGACGATGGTGCGCGCTGGTCCTGCATCTGAGCTTCCTCTCTCTCTTCCGCTCTTAGGTATTCTTCTGGTCGGATGAATTCTCCATATTGATCGCCTCTCTTCTTCGTTGCCACATAAGGAAACATCCTTTCTCGACCTTTCTTCCCACGGACATCATAGTCATGCACTCCCCTTTTACGTAAGAGAATATTCACGCCCAGGTCCGCGTCACTGAGGCCCATCTTGCGTTTGTTAGAGTGAGGCAGGGAGACAGAAAAGTTAAGCACTTTCCCCTGTTGCTCAGATTCAGAATCCTCGGACTCGGAAGAGCTGGATGCGTCGTCCATGGCATCAGCTGCGTTGTTTAGGGTAGTATTACCTCTTACTTGAGCAGTGTTTTGTAGCTGATTCTGAGTTGCCAAATATTGCTGGTAAATGAGTAGTTCGTCTGAATCTAGAGAAGTTCTCTGCACATCCATGAGGGTAAATTCCTTTCCTCCGCTGTGAACCTGTTCAAGCAATTCTCCGCTCGTGGATTTTTCAAGAGCAACTCCGTCTTTCCTTTCTTCATAGAGTTTCCAAATCTTGAAGCCCAGAATATTCTCGTATGCATTATTTGGATCCCGGTGTTCTTCTGCGAGGTAATTTAGTGGTTCGGTCATGATTATCAAATTCTCGTTTCCTTCAGCAATATGCTTGAGGACGTGTTTAGAAAGGCCCCATTCTAGCGAGGTATCTGGCGAAAGGATAACCTTTGAACCTTTAGACTCGAGAATGCCATCCAACTTGGCCTTGTGCTCCACAAGATTCAGGTGTTTGAAGGTAAATGGGCCGAGGCTTTTCTGACCGGTGGCCGATTTCTGGCTCTGCGCGCCTTTTGACGGTTGGTTGGACGCTCCGCCGGCAGCTTTGCCAGTAGTGGCTTCGACGCCGTCGTTGCCTTCAAATTCACGAACAATGTTCTCGTCCATCCATTCAAGCATACTTCGTGCCAGTCTCATAGTACCATGTGCCTTCTTACCAGCTAGATATAAAGGCGTGTTCTTGAGAGGGTCGTTTAAATCCTCAGAATCAGCTGCCTCTCGCCAGGCATGTTCCAGAACATATGCAATCTCCAGAATTCTCGCGCTGCTATCAGTGGGCAAAAGCACAGTACCTCCCTTGGCAGCACAGCTCCGAATCATGTCTAGAAGCAGCCCATCTCGCTTCTTCCTTCCACCGGGGAGAGCAAACTTATCTCCTCCGCTCGCGCTACAGATAAGTGCAGTAGGTTTTCGTAGTTGTTCAATGACCTCCGTCCCGCTTCCAATGGAGCTCCCAAACCATGCTGCTCCGGCAATGACATTTTCTCTTGCTTGACTCCAGTCGACAGCATAAACGATAGATTCCATGCCATGCTGGATGTGCCATATTGTCCCACCAACAGTGTGGCCAGCATTGTAAGCAGTAATTGTAAGACCGTTCAAAGGTGGAGAAAATGGTGATGGTAATGGTTGAAGAGGTTGTGAGTATTTTAGTGGGTGTATGAGGGAGAAGTAACGGGCGATATCTTCGTTAGTCGGGGGTGGTAGAAGTATGCGCCCTGACCCGGTAATCTCGTATCCTGATGGACCCTGAGAAGAAGAAGTGGCTGATTGTATTGTCAGACCAGAACTTGGGTCAGATGCTGTGACAGATGTGCTAGGTAAGAAAGTCGCAGCTAACGGGGCCGAGGCGTAGAGGTTCTGAAGGTAGGTCCTGCCAAATGCTATAACCGGTATAGTAGCATAAATAGGTATCTGTGTGAAGAGAGGATATGTCCGGCAACAGTGCACAAAAGCCCCGAGGTGAGATGGAGTCGCATGGGTTAGGAGAATAAGGGAAAGTGTAGGAATATGCCTAGGAACCAGCAATGTCAGCTTTTCAACGAACACTACATCCAAGGGTAGCGGTATAAGGACAGACAAACCTCTCCAACTCTTTAAGTACGGATGTATCAAACGACTCATCCCATCCGACATCAACTAGTATCTTGACACCGCCGTCGAGTTCGAGAATGGACTGTGAAGCCTTGGAGCCCGAGGATTGCGCCCCAAGCAAGGGGGTAAAGGTGAACATTTCGAGGCGTCGGATGTTATAAGGAGGGCAGGGAACTGTCTAACTTATACGACCAAGATACAAATAAGCTGCTAGAAACTGATGGAAGCTGGTATCCCGTCCGTCAGGAGCTCCGAACTGGCGTCGCGTGGTTGAGATGCTTAGAGCAAGGCGACGGTTAAGGTAACGAGTAGAAAAGAATTCTTCTCAGCATGCTGAAGGGTGAGCGTAGAGCTCTAGGTTTGACCGTATATCCCGTAAATCGGATCAATGCCCTTTGACCTGTCTGGTAAAGAGGTCGATGGTCTCTTGATTGAGTGATTGATGTATGTAGTCTTGCTGTCGTTCACCTCTTGGTTTTGATAATACAAAGAAAAAAAGCTTTGAAAGTCTAACCTGCCTTGTTTGCCTTGTTTGCACCCACCTTCCTTGTTTACCTTTTTTTGTCTTCTTCACCACCACCCTTCACTACGGGAGATATTTAAGCAAGTACATTCTTTCATGATAGTATGATATATGCTAGCTAATTCTACAGGGTATCCAGTGCTCAATAATCATATCCAAAAAGAACAGGCAAAACGCTGATGCTATGCAAACTCCTGCAATTAGGGAAGAAACTAAAACTTCAGACTCATAGACTCGTTCGTTATTTCGGCTGGTGAGGGACGTCGATCCGATCTCAGAACGACCGACTTCATCTGGCTCGTCTTTACTATCGTGACCCAGTCCCTTGCCACCTTGGACTGGCTGAGAATTTCAATGCACGTCTCGATCTCCTCCCTTGATGCAGGCGTCCGCATCGAGTCTTCAATCCTCTGGATGATCAGATCCATTGTGTATGACTTTCGAAGTGCCGTAGAGTAACTCGTTGCATCGTCAATCTTGCAATTCAACGGTGACAGTAGAAGAAGGACATTGATGACTTCTGAGATACGGCCAAGGGCAGTCTGCTTCAGTATAACATCTTTTGAAGGCGGAGGAGGGAGCTTCGACTGGCGCAGTGCTTTCATTTTCATACGCTCCAGAAGCCCATTTCGCCGGCTGTTAGTTGAAGTCGACTCTTTCAGTGGTGCTGGCTGTTTCTTATACGGTTCACGGGTCAACAGCGGCTTGGATTTGCGGGAGCCAAACAGTTCTTCAATGGTTTTTTGGCCTCTAGCAGCCTTAGCAGATCCTTTGGATAGGTGGATTGGTGCTAGTGGAATGGTCCGGAAAAGATCTCGACTCGGCTTCTCATAATTATCTCCCTTGTCATCGCAATAGCTTTCCAGGTTTGCCAAAAATTCCGCTTTAAGTGCTTTGTCATTCAACGGTGAAGTCCCGCTTGATTTGCTCGAAAGTGCACCCTCTTTTCTCTCCACAAATGTGTTTGTCCCATAACTGGTGAGTATGAGCCCGCTCTGAGGCTGTGAGGATGACCGACAAAGCCCCTGAATATGAAGCACCCGCTGGATGTCCTGCAGCGCCACCTTTCTTTTATTCCAGATCCTTTCCGTGCTGCTAAGTAGATCACGAATATTTGCAGGCGCCATGGATCCATTGTGGGCGAAATGAAGGGATAACGCGCTTAGAAAAGCCGAATTGAGATCAACAAGGTCAAGGAACTCGGAAGGCCGTCCGGAGTGGGAGGAGTCTGTGGGGCTTAACGGTACGGAAGCCCGCTCAGTAGAAGCGTCGGTGAAATATTCGACTTGGGGCTGAGCAGAGGGTTCATCCTTCTCCGTTGTTGACTCGACCTTGCTTCGCTTTGCGGATGTCTTTTCGTCGGAAGGGCTGATCTGCTGTACCAACTCGCTGTCTCCCTGACCTGGTTCTTCAATTTTCCGCTTCAGAGAAAGGGTCTCCTTCGAGGAAGCCGTTCGTGTCCCGGCCTTGCCTACTCGCGAGAAGGCTGTGATCCCGGGCTGTTTTGTAGGCAGGCGGGCTGTGGAAGCGCGAGTCGTCGTCGCCCTGCGAGTCTTCACGGCCATCTTGCTGCCGTCGACCTCGATTTCCTCGTTCGTGGTAACTTATGTAAAATGTATTCGTATAGTTATGGATGTCTGGTGGTATGGAGTCCTATCCATAAAGCTGATAAATGTGCGGTGAAGAGCTGAGCAAGACAAAAAGAGAAGCGTCTTTTTTTCTCGTCGCGAAATCAATTACAGAAACGCGTCAAAAGCGCGTCTGTGTTTGGATTACATAATGCTGCCTTTAACACACCGGCTTCCGGGTGAACATGGATGAACCCGGAAGAACACGGAAGAACAGCCGCGCGGTTTTCAATCCATCCACTATCGACGACACTTTGTAGCGCACGACTTGATAATAATGAAGAAAGCTGCGAGAGGTTTGTGAGAGCATGCCCTGCGATCATCATACCTTCTTGTAAGCTACTGGGGAAAGAATTCATGGAGAAATTTAAGTAAGATTTTGCATGGGGATATTTAAGCTAGTGATCAATTATCATCAGGTACTATGCACAGCAATTGGATATAAAAGGGTCAGTATATCATGATAATAAAGGCCAGAACAAGCCTCAATGGTATATCAAACAGCCCATTTTAAGACATGTCATGGTTTTTCGCTCCGTCGTCTTGGATGGGTGACTTTGGCTACTTCTTGCTACCACCCAGCCACGATGAAAGGCCGCTCTTAGCCTCAGCAGCCTTCTCCTCAACGGACTTGTCGAACTCCTCTAGTTTGCTAGTGATGCCTTTTGCAGTCTCATGTGAGGCCTTGTCAATCTTGTTCATGCCCTGTTTCGCCCGTTCGACGGCTCCTTCGTCAATCTTCCTTGCTGTGCCTCGTACGCTGTCGTACTAATACCCGTGTCAATATCAAGTAGCCATAGGGCGGATATCAACGCAAAATGCTGACAACGCCACCGAGAATGAAGGCTATCATATACTTACGGCATCATCTAGCTTAGCACCAGCCTGTGCAGCAGTCCTCTCGGCGCCTGTACTGGCCGTTGGCTTGTTGCCGTGGAGCGCTCGGGAAGCATCGCCTATTTAGTTGCAAACCAATAATTAGCCTCGATGCTCACAGAGATACTCAAGGTCAAGACGATGTCTTGAAAGCGGAGGAATATCATAAGCGGTGATTCATAAAGAGGCAACCGTCTTACTCTCGAACTTCCGGGTAGCTCTCTTCGGGTCGCCTCCGGCAGAGTATAGATAGTAGCCACCGGCACCTAGGGCAGCCAAACCGAGCCATAGGGGCATACGGGACTTGGGAACATTTGGCGGTCGGTCCATGACTGTTTACTATCTGATGTAAAAGGGAATGGTTTTGGTATTTGATCGAGGCTTGTATTAGATTCGTTTTCGAGATTCTACCGCCCGACACAGGCTTCTTCCTGTACCCTTTATATACTTCCCCTGGCAAAAGAGGGGTCCAATGGCCCAGGATCTGGCTATCTCTTCTGCCTACCAAGCTGGCACTTCCAAGTCTACTTTCGAGCTTCCCCCAGCAAAGAAGCTGCTATGACGTAGCACTTTTCGCCTGAAGTCTGATTCACGTGACTGGATTTCTTGCATGGGATGTAGCCACAAGAACCAGGTTTATCACAAAGCTACGGGAGATATTATCTAGACGGGATGTCATTGACCTCGCTGGATGCTATGCTCCATTCAAGGTGTTGGTATGGTGTACTGAGTACATTCGGCTAGCAGATCCAATTGAAAAGGGACGGCTCCGCCCCTGACGCTGGCAGAATGAGGAGAAGGAGTAAAAAGGGGCTGCATTAGCATATTATGTATCTTATGTTGTAGCAGCAAGGATCAAGCCTTATTGTAGCTGATAGGCAAGGTTTAATATTATAACAATTGTAAAAATGGAGAATGAGACGGCAGCGGAGCATCCTAGTTGTAATATCGTGGTTCGTCGAACACATGATATCTGTGGCCGCGAACTCCCTCTCCTCGGAACATAGCAGGGAACCTCATGCCGACTGGTACTTGATCTTCTGAGATGCGTTCTCCCTTGCCTTCTGGTTGGCCGACAGCAAATTTACCAACCTGTGACATCATTAGTTAGCATGAGCTATGTAAGTTCAGAAATTGTTGATCATTCCATACCTGTAGCTCCGTGTCGGTGATGGTTCCTCTGCTGACACGAGCATATCCGATCTTGCGGATGTTCTTGTATAGGATATATTCACACCAACGGTCCCAGTCGGTCGGATCAATGTCCTTCATTCCGCTTTGTTCGCTTACATATGTGTTGTAGTTACCTTCAAGCGGCTTGGTGACAAGATAACTGAGCAGTATCATGGGGCGGTTCGAGGAGCCCATGAGCTTCGACAGATATTCCGACTGCAACCTGCGGTCCTCGGGGTCTTCCTCCTGTCCGGAATGGAAGACGACAACATCGACCTGTTCGCCGTACATATCGAGGGTAGCGTGGATAGCAGGTGCGAGTTCACCAACGGGCGATGGAAGGAGATGATGAGTGGAGTTGAGGATAGGGAACTTCGAGAGCAGAGCACATCCCCAGGTATGCTTGTTGGGGCCGGGGCCGTAGTCGACGTACATACCGAGATCTTCAGCGAGGAATTGAGTGGTATCTCGGTTGCCCATGATAATTCTTTGGAGGTCGGACTCGAGCAGCCCCACGACGTCGAGCTCTAGCTCCTTAATTGCGTCACGCATACGTCTCTCTGACGACCACATGTCGTTATCCAAAGAGAAGTGCACCGTCCAAATACCAGCAGTCATAACCTTCTCGTCTTTGTGGTAGGGGGTATAGTCGTTGGTGGGGAATCGCATGAATCCAACGGCGAATGAGAAGATCTGAAGAGCACCGAGGACATAGAAATAGTAGGTGCGTTGCTTGCGAGCGTTTACAACTGGCTTTCTATATTTGGCTGAAGAGGTGGTCTGGGAGACAGAGGACGAAAACACGCCGGCGCCTATCAGGAGCATCATCGATGTCATGACCCAGTCGGTACGTTCACGTACGAGCGGTCCACCAGGAACGAAGGCGTAGGCAACAATCCAGACATGGAAGAGGACCATGAAGTTGTAGACAAAGAAACCAAGCCCAAAGACGGTCGCAGGTGAATGTTTTACACCAGAGCTGATGAGGATGGGAGCAACAGCCATGACATAGACTGCAAGCATGAGGCCGCCGTAGAATCCCAGCCAATGGCTGTTGCCGGTTAAGAGAGCGGCACCAACTGATCCAAGACCAAAGGCAGTCCAGCTTCCAGCCAGACGGGGGTAAGTCACTCCTAGGTAAACTCCGGCAGCCATAGCAAGCAGGGTAAGTGATCCATGCGGTACAGCAATCGGACCGCGGACGGGGAATCCTTCCCATACCCAAAGGATCATGGTGCTGGAGTCAGAAAGAAGAGAGTGCATAGCAAAGATAAGTCCACCAAAGCCGAGAGCAGAAAGAATCGAAGAGCCCTTGCGACCATTAGAAGGAGTCATGTAGTCTCCTGATACATAGTTCCTGCGAGATGGTCGAAGCATGGCGATTAAAGCTAGTACGAGGACAGTCTTGTTCCATCCACCGTTCTTTTCATTAACGATGGGCCAAGCCGGATTGTTGGTATGGCAGGCGTATTTCATCAAGCTCGAAGCAAGCAGGCCAACGGTCCATGCAGTCACTCTGGTTTCAAGGCGACCAGGCTGGCTTCGTTCTCCGTAGAAGATGGCAGCCCAAGTCAAGCATCCCATTGCAACGGAGAAACCGACCAAGAAGAGTCGGTATGATGGGTATTGAACCTGGTAGGCAAGCAGACCAGAAAGAGACAACAGATGAAGAAGCTTGACGTTGCGCACAGCAAAGGAGCGGAATCCTGGCATGGCTAGAAGGAGAGGCGAGATGCTAACCATGACAAAGGCTTCGTAGCCAGATATACCCATGTTCCATAGGGGGAAGTCTAGATAGGGCGTCAGTTTAAATTCGAAAATGATGGGGATTACCAACTTACACCAGACGACAACTCCAAGGGAGGTCAAGGTAGACCAGAAGACGAACTACATTGACGTCAGATATGGTATGGAAGACGAATTTACAGAGCTGCTTACTCCATTGTAGATATCGGCAGCGGCATCAAAGATCTCAATAAGGAAGAAGCGCTCGCCCAGAGGAACACCATGTCTAATAAGATATTAGCATCTTGACTAGAGGATAGAAAAGGGCCAAAAAAAAGGTAAAAAGGATGGATCATACTCTTTTTCGATAGCAGCGTCGGATTTACTCGTTCTGTAGTAAATTGTTCATGACCTTAGAAAAAACAAGAACACACATATCCAAATAGCCGTAAACATGGGCGTGGGACATAACATATAGTACAACTAAACAGTCTACTTTGGAAGCCGCCTGACGTACCCTCTGCTAATCCCTTTTATGTCTTTCACTGTAATCTCGAAACCTTCAAAATCAAGAGCAGTAACTGCATCAAAAGCAACGTCGAATAGAATCAGGGCCCATTCGAAAAAGGCGTAAGTTGTATATGCTAGAAGTAGTTAGCAACGTGTCATGAAAATATCTCATTAGTATAAATGTAGAGCTCACCTCCGGGGATTTTGTGCACTTTATGCTGGATAAAGAAGTAGACCAGAGGTACAAGAGTAGCAAAGAACAGGCCAGCAAACATCCTTCGGTACTTGAGAGCCCGAGGATTTGGAGGGCTTAGGGCAAGACAGCCGAGCGTCCAGGGCAGTGTAGCCACTAAGTACGCAATCATGAAGATATCATGCCATCCGTGGTCATCCGTCGAAGTCACATAAGTCCATCCGCCGCAGGTCAATGTCCTGAAGATGCCTACGCCCAGCACAGCCTTGGGCAGTACCGAGTTCGGCCTCGCGGTGAGTATGTACCAGAGAAATACGAGCGCGAATCGAGGGCCGGAAGTGATAGCGATGAAAATCTGGAAGACCGAACGTTCCGGGTACCGGTCACCTATTGTTGCTGAGACGGATGGGAACCATTCATCGGGGTATCCGTAGTGTTCGTTCTGGACTATTTTGTGGTAGTGAAGCCAGATGCCGACGACAAGAGCGCCCAGGAACGCGGTGTATCCGACAACAGTGTGTGACCATGATATCCATTTCCCGTTAAACTATAGTAGCCGTTTAGTTAGGACCTGATACTGAGGCAATGAAGATCTGCCGAGGGTACAGCTGGGGGTGAAACGAACAGAAAAGACCGTGTCCCCATCCTTGAACTTGGGGGCCATGGTCAAGGTGGTTTAGAGAGCTATGAGCGAGCGACGCGCAGGGAAGAAAGACATCAACACGTATTAATTAAAAGGAGATCAATAAGAAGAGAATGTATCAAAACGAAGGAAAGAAGTGAAAGAGTCTGCTCCCGCCGGTGTCTCGTGAAATTGCCGCGGCCCCTGAGGATTTTGACGCGGTTGGAAGCGACCTCATCTCAACGTCGGCGCTTATTAACTTTGATCCGCTAAAAAAAGTTAAAAAGATAAAAAGAAGGTAAAAGAAGATTGATATCAAAAAGAAAATAACACCGGTAGAAGGAAAAAAGAGAATTAGACGAGGTTGAGGCTACGAAAGGAGTGCTGAGTCTGTGGTCGAGATGTCCGCGAGCGATAAAGCTCGCTATTACCTGGAGCAGCTTGTCCCTGAGCTCCGTGAATTCAAGAAGAAGAAGATCTTTACTGAGGTAGGTATACTATAGGCGGAACTTTGGATGAAGGGCTACTAAGAGAGATATAGGAAGAAATAAGTTCTATAACGAAGAAGAGATCCGACTTTGAACACAGGATAAATGCTCGCGGCCCGTCACCGGCAGACTATGCCCGGTATGCAGAGTACGAGATGAACCTGGATGCCCTGCGTAAGAAGAGGATCAAGCGACTAGGTGTCAAGGCGCCGACGCACACTGGACAGCGACGAGTCTTCTTTATCCTCGATCGGGCGACAAGGAAGTTCCATGGTGACGTGAGCCTATGGCAGCAATATATCGACTATGCTCGCAAGCAAAAGGCGTATAAGAAATTGGCCCAAATATTCACAAATGCACTACGGCTGCACCCGCGAGAGGTGGATCTATGGATCTACGCTGCTCAGCATTCGCTGCAAGACCATGGGGATATGATGCAAGCGAGAGGGTATATGCAGAGAGGATTACGGTTCTGTCAGTCTTCTCGACAGCTGTGGCTTCAGTATGCGAAACTGGAGATGATCTATATAGCGAAGATAGGTGCACGGCAGCGGATACTGGGACTAGATAAGGTAGAGGAGAGAGATGGTATTGATGAACAAAATGACGATGAGGGTGCAGATGTGATGATACTACCGCGGTTGACGGGGGAGGATATCAACCCTACACTTGAAGGAGACGAGCCGGACCAGAAGTCACTAGAGACACTCAATGCTACTCCAGCGCTGTCAGGAGCCATCCCTATCGCCGTTTTTGACGCGGCCATGAACCAGTTTAACAACGACGCCGGGTTTGCGTATGACTTTTACCACATGCTGCTTGAGTTCGAAGAGTGTGCCTGTCTGCGACGAGTGCTCGGCCACGTCGCTGACTCGCTCATAACAGCCCATCCGGCCAACGCCAAAGCTCAGGAGTGCCATATCAGGTACCCGGTGGGAGGCATAAATCCCTGTTCTCCCGAGTTTCCACGAGCATTCTCACTCGCTCTCGGACGGTTGAAGAAGCACATGAAAGATGACAACCCCGTCCTGGCCCTGCTTGCACCACACATCACCACCTGGCTTCAGCGTCTTCTCGAAACCGAGAACCTCGACCCAGCGCTGCGGAAGGTGATACAGGTGACGCTAAAGAGCGCAAGTCGGCAGATGGAGAGTTGCAGGGTATCATAGACACAGCAGAGCCACCACCAGCATCAGTTCATAAAATATGAGATACCACTTTTGTGATGTCAATTCATTCGTCTGACCTGCCTTTTCTGCTGCTCTTCTTGTTGCTGTGTGCCTTTTTCATCCGTATTCTCGCCTCATTCGCGGCCTTCTGTCTGCAACACCTGTTAGTCGTAGTCTTTGTCAACCTCCGTAGTCTTCTCGGTATCAACGCACAACTTCTGGACCTTCTTTTTCTGCTCAGGCGAGGTTTCCCCGGGAACAGCAGCCCTTCCGGCCTCTGCTATCATGCTAGTCAGCTTGTCGAAGCAGGCATTGAGGTTCTGTGACTGCTTCCGGCTGTCGTCCGCCTGTATGACTAGTGCCTGCGAGTTCTCTGCGTAGTATCGAGACGACCGGATAGACGGATGTAGTATCTTCGGCACCAGGGGCAGCAAGTCACTCATCGGCACTTTAATCGTCGCTTTCGAGTTGACTCTGCGCCGTGTTGGTTAGCATCTCTGTGCGAGTCCATGTCTGCTAGCTGCTGGCGGGAGTCGTACTTGTTCACATTCTGGCCTCCAGGCCCGCTGGACCGGCTGAATGAGACCGCGCAGATGCTCCTGGGAATCGTATCGGCCGTCAACTGCGCCAGCCATGTCCTCGCGGCCCTGAGCTCGTCATCGCTGGCAGTGTGAGCCCTGCGCAGGCTCGCTGCAGCCGCCCACCGACCTCTCCAGGCCGTCTTCCACAGTTTTGCCAGCATCGCAACCTCGAATCGACTCTGGCCAACCGTCTTCGCCAACGCTGTGCCTCCAAACCGCTGCCACGACCATCTCTCAGGCACTCTGGCTTCGCCCTGCCCACCGTCTAGACCGTGCTTAGTAACTAGCTAGTGAGCTCTCAAGCTCCCGCCCGTTCTCGAAGGATCTTCATTGGTCGCCGGCGAGGTCGAAGCTCCAAGGAAGCGCGCAGGGAAGAAACATCGGCTTTTCTCTCCTGCTGGCCCGGTGACGCTCTTCCGCACACACGAACGCAACTTGCATCTCAGCCATGCCTGCCTGGGGCTTCGTGCTCGAGGCTCTATCGGATCCTCTCGTCCAGACGTGCGTCCTCGATGGTTTATAGGTGGCGTTCGAGCCGCCTTCCTCGCTCTTAACGGTGGTCACAACACCCACGCACACACAAAAAACACTCGAAGCGGGCGACGCAGAGACAGGAGCTGCTGGGACGGGGACGAAGACAAAGAACAAGAACGAGATAATAGATGAAAGGAGAGCCTGCTGTTTCAGATGGCCTCAGATCCGCCCGAAGAGGCGCTGCACTTCCGGGGCAAGACGCTGACGCCCGAGAGCCCGCGGCCGCTGCACATCGCGGAGCCGTCGAATATACCCCTCCTGCAGAACCAGATGGACGCCTCCTACCATGATACCTCCGCCCTAGAAACCGTTCCGGAGGTCAAGGAACACACTTTGAACCCAGTGCTTGTTGAGCAGGGCCTCCAGCGGCCGGCGGTGGGTGACCAGATGCAGATGGTGGACCAGACGTTCGCGATGCTGCAGAGCGGGCTGGAGCAGATGAACGCGAGTGCTGCTGGCAGTGTTGCTGAAATAACAGGTAGTCTCCCTGGATCTAATGCAAAGACGGAGGGCATGCTATCAGAGAATGAATCGATACTCGCTTCTACTACTCGAGACGAGGTTTTGACGAATTCACTTTCATCTTCAGTGCCTCATCCAAATCCTACCGCTGAGCTAGACCTACAGCACCATCAAACCCACCCTGATACCGCTGCCCATACCCATATGGCGGGAACGGTAGGGAATAACAATATTACAGCCGCCCATCTAGCTCCATACCCAACTACTCAGGGCGTTGCTCCTCTATATGGCGCTTACCAGCATCAGCAACCTCCTTCACCACTGCGGTCTAGTCCTGCTGCTGGTTACCCCTTAGCTCCGACTCAGAACCCAGGTGATGTGAACTCCGATATCTCTCAGTCTTCTCTTCTCAATACTACTGCTGCCTATCAGAACATGCTTGGTAGCAACGTACCCTCGTCTTCTGCATCATATATAACTACTGCTGCCCCTACCGCTGCTGCTGTTGCTACCACTACTACTACGCCCACATCTGCAGCCCATGCTGCAGAACCCATCAGCCAGCCAGATCATACCCTCAGTGACATTGCCGTTTCCAGCATGCCCATATCTTACTCATCTACTCATCCTTCTCGCCCACTTGCTGCTACCCATGAAAGTGAGCCCATGCAAACAAGTCATCCTGACACAGGCCCTGACACCTCCCCATCTAAAGAATCTCTTCAAAATGATAAAAGTAATAGTCTGCCCCAACGTTCAGCTGCCATGGATGCTTCTGCTCGCCTATCTACATCCCTTTCTAGCCCTGAAGCACTCCAGCAAGTACCACCAAAATCTCATACCAGGAAAGTATCCAACACTTCACGAAAACGTGACAGTTATGATGAGAATATAGAGTCTACAAAGGGTGACCCACAAGATGATACCCCCTGGGGACCTGATATCCAGAAAAAGTATGATGACTTTCTCCGTGATGAACGTATATATGTTACCGAGGCGCATTGGGATAGGTTTCCTGCCGGCTCCCGTCTGTTTATTGGTACGTATCAGTACGCTCTTTTCTGAAACGTAAACACTAACAAGTGTAGGCAACCTACCAACTGAACGAGTGACTAAGCGTGATCTTTTTCATATATTCCACATGCATGGAAAGTTGGCTCAGATATCAATCAAACAAGCCTATGGCTTCATTCAGTTCCTCGAACCTGACTCGTGCCGCAAAGCACTTCAGGCTCAGCAAGGCTCTACAATCAGGGGCCGAAAGATTCGTAAGTTCACTTCCCACCCATTGCCTTCGCTCCTATTCTAACATTCAGTCAGACCTAGAAATATCCAAGCCTCAACGTGGCGCTCGCAACTCTGGCCCAACGGAGAACAGTGGACGTAAGCAGAGAAGGTCAAGATCGCCAGAGTACGAAAGGAACAGAGAACCGCCACCTCGAGGTGGCCGTTCAGCTGCGGACCGATATGATAGGGGTCCCGGAAGACTGGCAATCAGTGATTTCAGGGAAAAGGACCCACACCGGTACCGTGATAGAAGTTCTCGATCTCCTTCACCCAGAGGGCTACGCCGAGATTCGTATCACTCCCGAGAACGCAGTTTTGATAGATATGATCCTCGAGAGAGGCGACGGTCGAGGTCACGATCACCTCGGCCTCGAATTGCACGCTACCGTAGCCCCAGTCCAAGGGACAAAGGGTATGACAGCGAATCTGACCTGCCAATTCCAAGGAGAGATCCGCGTAACGTCCCGGAGGTCCAGGTTATTGTTCTGGAAAATGCAGACAAGTTGGTCTACCCCCTTACTCAGGTCTTTACATGTCAGCACGCTAACCGGTTTTCCAGTGAATTTGTTTATCGAGTTGAGAACGCTTTCAGGGATCGCGGCCTTAGATGTGACGTTTTAATTCTAAGTCCTCGAATTCGATTGTCTGCTGTTGTTCGGCGACAAGTAATGGAGGGTGTCCTTGCCATTGTTCGCATCTCTCGAGCAAATCAGTACTCAGGAAAGATACCGTTGCAGATATTTGACCGATCTGGTGGGATGGACAACGTACGGTTTAATGGTGAGTTACACATACTTTGTGCCCCCTTCTTCACTGTTACCCATAGATACTAATCACAATTATATAGAATACTCTGAACTTGATCTCAACCTCGCTGCTGAAGTCGTCGTTCATGCACGTAATTCCCAGAAACCAAATCCGATACAGCTGCAGCCGCCACTTCTATCTGCTGTCTTGCCTCCTCAACCCATACCGCAACCAGTAGCAGCTCAGTCAGAACAAGCTGCAATTGCCAGTCTTCTGTCAAACCTCGACAGTTCCACCCTTCATACGGTACTTAATTCCCTGAACCAGCAGCAACAGTTGCAAGCACAGCAAGCACAACAGCAAAATCGCCAGTTCCACTCACAGCCAGCACCTGCCACCGCACCACCGCTAAATTCGACCAATCTTGCGGCACTCTTGGGTAACTTGACACGTCCGGGCAATGCCAATCCACCGTCCATTCCAACCACAACTGCTCCAGGCACACATTTTGCGCCTCCTCCTCCTCCCCCTCCTCCTCCTAATCCGATCCCCCATCCCAACACCAACTTAGCTTCCCTTCTGCCAAAGGGCCCTAATCCAGGACACAACGGCCCGCCCCCCCAACCACAAGCCAATATGCAAGTACAGCAGATCATGGAACAGCTAATGAAATGGAAACAATAATGAACATTGATCCTATTCTCTGCCTAAATGTTACTTTCTCTTCCTTCATCCGGGCATATACTTTCATGACACATGAGCGACATCTGGTTTTGATTTTACTTTAACGAGTTCAGACTCTTCTTTTTTGCATTTCTAGCGCAAGGTGATGGATGGAGAATAGGTTAAATTTGGGTTGCTATATATATGCTCTTCATTTTATATGCACTATATTGTTTCCGTTAATAATATGCTCTAATTTATTCATTTCTTGCTCTCGAGATGTTCAAGCTAATATTACATATATCTTACAGCCTTCTCTGGTGCCGTATTCAACCGTTCCTTGTTCGCAATCCAGGAGGTATTCGATGCCTGGATCAATCATGACCCATAAAGCTAGAAGTCTAGCATACGTCAGAGTAAGGTCTTCATGACCGAGACAGATATCACCAGCTACCAATGTCCAGGACAAACTCCGCCAAATTCCCAAATTCACCCTGTTATGTCCAATTTGTGAAGCGCAATCCCCCATGCAATGTAGGTTTATTTGGTGCCCTTCTGCGCCGCAGCACTCCCAATGTCTTCTCGTTTTATCCTCTGGATCGTCTGGTCTCTCCTGTGCTCCATTACTCGCTTTTCCTTGAAATATTTGGCCTAAAAGCAGACGATTAACAAATGCAAACATTTACTGACCAACTCCGGCTAGGACGTACCCATGTAGCCGAACATGCGCTTTCAAACTCCTGGATTTCCTTAGAGCACTTTGACCGGGCGGCGCTATCCTCTTTGAGAGCGTCTATGATATTATTGGCATCAAGGCAGGCGAAGAACTTGTCTCTTCCTATCCAGCATTGTTGGCGGGAGGTTCGGTCGGGAGCGATTGAGCCGCCGTCCGCGGCCTTCTTGGGCGCAGGCTCGGTAGATGATGAAAACCAGCCCATTGTAAGGAGTAACAGGGTGAGCCAGGAATCCGGAGAAGTACTATATAAGACCGCTTGAATGAAATGGAGACCTTCTACCACTGCTCACCGTTGATACTAAGTAGCTAGAAAGTAAAGCCCAGTAACTAAATGCATGATTCACGTGACTCCCCTTTGGCCCCGGTCTGCTTCGCCGACAAGAAAGAAACAAATCGAAAGACGACGACCTGATATCCTCCCTGATGCACCATCGTCGTGGGACGGATGAAGTGAATTGTTGATATACCTGCTAGGCCAAGAGATGCGGCCGTTTAACCATATACCTTAATAGCCGACCGTTGTTCGAGTTCTACACAATACATGCGGCGCCGTCGGCTTCCAAGGGCTGGCGCTCTGGCAGACCTCCCTCCGTCGAAGATCATACGCAAGATCCTTGCGATACAACTAGCTTACTATGTCTGCGCTACGGTTCTGATCCTTTTTACCGCCCTGGTGGCTGGTACTGCATTTTCTCCTGACCTGATACTGAGCTGGCGGACTGTTCGGGGGGATACAACTGTCGGATGGACTCTTGGGTTCGTCTGGTTGTTGAACAGCTCTCTTGGGTATGTTTTATGATTATACAGCTAAATTCTGGTGTGAGCTAACTATTTGGCTATTTATAGAGCTATATTTCTCCTCTTGTTTGTTTCCCGGTCAAAACTAATACCTGACTTCGCCTTTACGCTCCATTTCATCCATCTTACAATCACATCCTTTTATACACATTCTGTCCCTACGAATATGCTCTGGTGGGGACTACAAACTGCTAGTGCTACGCTCATGACATTCTTGGGCATGTGGGCGTGTCAGTGGAGAGAGCTACAGCCTATTGCCTTTGGAGGCCAGGCTGCGACTACCGGCACCAGGCAACAACAGCAGCAGCAGACTCCTGCCACAGACGCTGACATAGAGAGTGGTATCGATCTTGAAAACATGTCGAGGGGGAGAGGCAGAGGTCGAGACAGAGATGGCGGCGGAGATTACGTCGAGGTTCCTAGTAAGGAGGTTGAATCTACTGCATCAAGGGAATAATATACAAGTTGGGTACAGGTTCACGGCTCTGGTTATAGTTGTATTGCATATACCCCTTCAATTTTCCTTCTCGGGCCGGAGTTTGGAAGACTGCATGGTATTGGACATTTTTATATCGTTTCTTTTTTACCCTTTACGTTGTCTGTGTTATCCTCTCTCTCTCCTTCTCTTCCTTAATTCTTCTTTTATGAATTGTATGAACAGATATTGCATTCAATACCCATCCTCTCCTCCGTCTGCCTCACTCAAACTCTCTAGACAAGGCCGTCCTGCTTCGACCGCAGTTTCTCTAGACGCCCTTTGTATCCGTCGTCCATGTCGACTTTTCCCTCGAGTGCTTCCATCACATCAAAGACAAAGTCCTGGCAGTTCTAGCTCAGTATGTCGCTGCGTATGGCCACTTTGGACGCTATATCAGCCACATCCAACTCCCTGGCATCGTCTATCTCGCAGATGAAGTAGAGCTCGAGCAGGGTCTCGTCTTCACGGACGTCGGTGGTGCGTTGTTCGTATCTGAAACGGCCTGAGGAGCCCATCGCGTTGAAGTACCAGCTTGGTTGGGCCGTCAAGAGACAAAGCCCAATGCTTGAAGAAGCATCCGTCGTCAAATATCGCCGTGTAGACCTTCATCGTATCTCTCCTACTCGTCGTCTACTTCATCGTCGCCTCGCCCTCTGCAGCCTCTGTTCTACTGATTCTCCTTCCTATTGCTTGTCGTCAACTTCATCGTTCGTCCCGCATGGCTCAAGAGCTAGAAAGACGTCATGTGACGCTTCCGCGGCCACAAAGTCGAGCTGCGGCGGCTTCAACGACTCCAACGTCACCTTGACAAGTCGAACATCCAGCCTGGACACGGAGAGACAGTGGCCAGGCACGAAGAAGTAGTCGTCGTGATCGAAGAATGCTGATGCTGGCCAGGCCCTGCCTCTTTGGCTTCGTCTCGCTGCTAACGTGACCATTGGCGTCATAGAGGAGAGCGCCATAGTTAAACTCGGGTGGTTACCACCACACCTGCAAGTATATTACCAACAACGCCCCGGACACCCTCCCCCCCTGTGAAGAACAGCTCTTATACGTGCCATTTCTAACGGTTGAGCAGCAAAGATCCTACGAGAGCCTACATATCCTTACACACTATGACCTCGTCTCCGTCGTACGTCGACTACGAGACTTTTCTGGACCCGTCGTTCTCGCCGACCTCGTTCGCCCAGACGCTGGTGGCAACCACCAACAACCCGTCTGATACTCCGTTGGACCTCTCTACGCCGCTCTCTCGCGTGCTGTTTGACATTCAGGAAGTCGACAGCCACATTCACACATTCACAACCAAATCTGCTCTGCCGCTGCTACGGTATACGACGGACACCACTGCCTCAGGCCAGCGTGTACTCCTGGCATTGGAGGCGCAGGTTCTCGCGCTGACGGAAGGCTATCAGCGTCTTGAGAAAGATGTGGTGCGTCGCTGGGAAGGGGCTGATGAAGTGCGCGGAGCAGCGGAGCGGTCCTGGGCGACTGTGAAGTTGGCCAGGGCTGTGTCAAGATGCCTGATGCTGGGCAGACAGCTAGAAGGACAGCTGGTGGAGATCAGTGGGCGTGATCGAGAGGACCACCGGGCGCTGGTAAGGGCGTCTCAGACGCTGTTGATGCTTAGACGGATGTTTGCGGACAACAGTAATGGTGGCGACGACGGGGAAGACGAAGGGTACGGCGCTGCGCTGGAGCGGGTGAAGGTGGTGAGAACATTGAAGGCCGAACTAGTGAACCCAGCAGAGAATAGTGTCAAGGCGCGCGCGCAGCAGATCGTCAGTCGGTTCTCGCTACCTACAGACGAGCAAGGGGTGGTTCTGCCGCCTGGCGCTGGTGGCACTGGCTCTACATATGCACAGCAGGAAGAGAGTCGAGCACGACTGATATCAGCCATGACGGCTCTCTACCTACTCTCCCCTACTACTACCCAGACTATATCCGCGGCTAATTTCCAACCAGAACTGCTTCTTGTAACGTTAAAATCGTTCATCCATTCGTCCCTGACAGCCTCGCTGCAGGCCCTTCTTCGAGGACTCTCCCAGCTCCCGTCTCTGGAGCGAGCACTTTTAGAGGTCTCCAACCGTTGCCAGACGGTGGTCGTTCTAGAGAGGATACTCCAGGGTGCCAGACAGCCTGTGCATCCCTTCTACAACCGTGCCGCCAACGATCCATCATCGTCATCATCGTCCACCTTGCCCACTTCTACTTCTGACAAGAAAGAGAAGCATGTCAAGAACAACTTACTGTATCCATTGCTGCAGTACCTGGACACGACGTCTCTGCCAAGCTACTTCTGGCGCTGTCTTGCATCCGCGCTATCGCCGCGGGTAGGGGAGCTGCTAAACCGTGGCGGAGCGGCCGCTCGGGCCCTGAGAGGGAACCGAGAGAGGCTGCGGGATGAGATCCGGCAGTGCGTGTTACGTGGGAGCAGTGCCGGCAGCGCCAGCAGGGGGAGTGACAGAGACAGAGAGCAAGAAGCAGACGGCGGAGGACTGGTTGTGGGCAACTGGGAGAGAGAGGCGGCGGTGATGGTTGGCGCAGTGCTCGGGAATCGATAGGAGTCGGAGTAGTTGGTATATATCATTTTTTTCCCCTGTCCTTTTTACCTTTAGTTGCATCCAGTGCAGGCGTTCGTTCTATCATATCCCCTTGCATGATACTGTTACCTATCTCACCAACTAGTAGCGTATGCCTGTGTGCTGTATGTATGTGGGTGTGTGTGCGCGCTGTGTATGCAAGCCCTGTCATTTCTGTCAAACCACCTCCGCCAGGCGTCTACATCCACCCACTACCAGCAACAAACAACCATCTATACAACAACGACGACCACGGCGGGCCATAGTGCCAGGAACCTGGTCCACCCCGGCCGGGTCCTGAATATGACATCTCTTCTACTTCCTTTTTTCTACTCCTCTCTCTTCGTATTCTCTCTCTTGTGTGGTACAGACAGCAACAGTAGCAGACATACGACAACACCACCAACATCAACCATCAAACCACCCGAAGAACCAAGGTCCAAACTGTCTAACCAGCAGAGAGAGGTACCTGGGTGACATCTTGAGAGGCGCCTCTGCTCCCTGGCCCTGTTTCTCTGTCCCCCATGCTACGCTATAGAACTGGACTGGACGGGATGGTGAGACTTACATGCAGGTACCAACCAGCTCTATAGCCATCAGACTTTTGTTCCCTCCCTTTGCTATATTTATTCTCCGCTGACTACTTTGGGATAGCCCGTCTCTTCTTTGTTGCAACATGGGGTTCGAAAAACGAAGTACGAAGTACCTGTACTCAAATCAAAACAACTCTCCGGCTATGACTATACAACTAATTGAGCCTGAAGGAGTGGCGGGGAAATGTGCCTGGATCGGTCGATCGACCACGCTCGGCCAGAGAAAAAGAAGCAAAAAGCAAAGGCAAAAGCAAAAAAGCGGAAAAAGAAGACCTATCCAGGACAGACAGACTTCGTTGACTGAGCTTGTCGTACCCATTTCATAGCAAGCAGAAGGCAACGCAAAAGCCAGCATCTGGCTGGAAGTTCTTCGCCTCTTCACATGCTTTGTACGACGTTGGAGGAGACAGAGCGAGAGGAACAGGCCAGGTCCCCGTCAGGGTCAGGGTCAGCACCCTTTTGTTCCTGGATGGGGGAGGAAGGAGGAAAACAAGTTGCTGGAAGATGGGAATTTGATGAAAAGGTGAAAGGGTAAGGGACACGGCCGGTCAACTGCTCCATACAGTGAGACGTCAAAAGACAGCAAGCGAGCAGAGCGAAAGCGAGGGCATGTTATGCAAGGTACCTGTACCTGGACAAGGCTAAGGCAAGGCACAACAGAGAAACAAGTCCATGTACCTTGACGCCGCGCCCACCTTTAGCGTCCAGCCCGGCCTTCGCCTGCTCAAGGGCGTGGAAAGCTCCAGTTAAAGGCATTCAGTTAAGGGCAAGGGTTGGTTTTAGCTAAGGGCAGCCTAATCAGTTAAGAGGCTAGTCAAAGGGGCTAGTGCATGGCTGGTTAAGCTAGTTAAGGCCTAGTTAAAGGGACCCCCCTGTGAGCTGGTCACTTGCTAGCGATGTACCGGTACCTTGCCTGCTCACCTTGCCTGGCTGGCTGTCTCCCACTCTTTGGTGCCCCCTCTCCGAGAGATGCCATGGCATGCCATCCATGATGTCGATGTCTCCATGGGCCGCCCATGACTTGCATCCTTCTTGCTGGCTCTGACGTAGCCTTCTCTTCGCTTCTTTAGCCTCATCTCTCGCCGACTTCCTTCGACTTTATCTTCCTTCTTCTTCTTCTTCTTCTTCTTCTTCTTCTTCTTCTTCTTCTTCTTTTCTTCTTCCTCCTCCTCTATTCTTCTTCTGCTTTTCTCCTCCCCTCTGGACTCTCATCAACTCTCGCACCTCTTCCACACGCTACGGACTTACGGACCTTTGACACACTTTGGCTGCCAAAGGGGTACTGCCTCGGTACTACCGTCACTGCCGGCCGACTCTACCCAGAAATGAACAATATCTAGTGCATAGCACCTTGCTTGCCTCTGCTTGAATCGACTCGACTCGGCTTGATTATCTGCGAGGATATCGTCTCCCTCGCCTTCTTTACTGCGCCTGCGGTGTCACAGGGGTGTCAGTTCTGGCTCGGTACCTGAACGACCTCCCTGGGCTATTTTCAACCCACATCAACAAACGACTCCATCATTCTCCATCATAAATATCCGTTGCAGCAACTCGGATGAGAAAGCGAGTTAACTAAAAGACTCAAAAACACCCAAACATCGCCTTCTTCCGTCACCTCTTGCCACTGCATCCAAACAACTTCGCCTAACGTCATCTCTCCTCTCTTTTATTCCCTGCGCTTCAACCCCGGGGACCTCCAAGGACTCCGGTTATTGTGTGCCCTTGTGCCTTTTCCTCTGGCCTTTACCTCTATCCTTTATCCACAACTACCCAACCTCTACCTCTAACCGTCCGCCCACATATCAACATATCAACACACAAAACACCTACTCCGTACTACCGCCATCATTTCGAATGTTTCGGTCATTTCTGCGTTGATCCATATTTACTTCCTCTAGAACGACCCACTTGCCGCCGCCGTCGGTGGTAGTTTTTGCAAGGCCGTCGTCGAGGTAACAAGAGACAAGACGAGAAAGACAGCTTAAGACGAAAGAGGGAGAAGTGTGACTGGGGGCATATAATATATATGCATAGATGACACGCTAGACCCCCCGTCAGGACCTTCCTCTCCCGTTCTGGCCTTGGATAACGACTTAACTTCGGCTTTCCTTTTCTCCTCCACTTATCTCTTTTCTCTTATTTTTCCTTATCGCTCTTTTTCTCCGGCCGGGGAGGCTGTTTTGGTCGCAGGTCGCCAGCAGGAGAAAGTGAAACAAGGGGAAGACGAGCAGGAAATACAACATCAGGAACAGCAGGCAGGGAATCTGGTATCGACGATGCCCTCTTTTCTTGCCGTCAATAATAAAAATAACAGAATGACCGTACCTGAGCAGCAGCAGCGGCAGCGGCAGCGGGAGCAACGGAAAGAGCTGTCACCGGGGCCAGCTACGTCGGTGTCTACACCCAACGGACAACCGAACGGACAGCCGCTCGCTGGACAAAACGGAATCGCCTCTCATACTGAACTCGCCCCGAACCATGGAACGAACGACGTAATCGTTACTGAACAGCATCGTCATCAACAACAGCAACAACCGCAATCAACGGTTCACTACGCACACTCACATACCTCATCCGTCTCGCCACATAATACAAATACCCAGCCCGCCGCCGCCTCAACTCCTAATCGCACCTCTGTCGTCAGTCGCGAGGGCTCTTCTACTCACTCCTCCAACTTCGACGAGATGCAACACCCGGAGTCAGACGGAGATCACTATCAGACCGATAATGAGATCGAAATGGGTGGTACCGGAGATGCCGGACCTTCAGGTACAGGTCCTGCAGGTACCTCAGGGGCTGCAACAACAAATTCAATTACAGCAGCAGCAAACGCGGTAACCGCTGCAGCAGTGGCAGCAGTGGCAGCAACAGCAAACGCTGCTGGCGGGCCTCCATCGAAGAAGAAAAAAGGCCAGCGGTTCTATTGCACCGAGTTCCCGCCTTGTAATCTCAACTTCACTCGAAGCGAACATTTAGCCAGACATATCAGGTAACTGCTCTATCCGCCTATAAGGAGATAACATAAGCCTGCTAACACAAGGCCAGAAAACATACTGGTGAACGGCCATTCCAGTGCCACTGCTCTCGCCGGTTCTCCCGCCTTGACAACCTCCGCCAGCATGCTCAGACTGTCCATGTCAACGAGAACATCCCGTGTGACTCCCTCGCAGCCAGCGGAACCCGATTCCAGCGCCAGGTACGCACAGATCGTGTACGACATAACGGAAGAGCCCGCGCGGGGACCGCCGGCAGCCATTCACACAGCCACAGCCGTAATCTGTCTACCTCCAGCATCTCATCGAACATGTCTAGCTATGCCCCACAGCACCAGGAGCTACGACGAAGGCCACAACCGTTGATGATGGCCGGATCTGGTGCTGAACACCACCATCACACTCGCAGCAGACATTCTCTATCATTAGAGACCAGAGCCGAGCCCCCCAAAACACCTCCAAATCAGTCCTCTGCGCCTGGTCCTACGTTCACGCCTTCATCGGCTACATACGATCAGTCGAGCCCTTACTATGCCTCCCCAAGTTCTGCTTACGGTTCTTCGCACTGGCCGGACCGCAACATTGGTCGCCGTTTATCAGTGCCAACAAGTACGAGGCCATTTGACCCGTCGCATCAAAACTATCCCAGCCAGCCCCCGTATACTCGCATGACCCATCCGCCATACCCTAGTCAATCAATAGCACCGGCGCCGCCCCCCGTAATGGCTCCCGCGCCAACAGATCCGGCCCAATATGCAGCTGTAACACCAACCAGCGCAATAGACTCGGGGTTTGAAGCCGATCCCCGACGAAGGACATGGCATCCCTCTTCATACACTGGTTTCGCACGCCCTCCTCAAGCTACCAGCGGCCTCTGGTATCAGCAGTCCGCTGAAGCACCCGGTGCAGTTCCAGGTGGAAACGTCAATGTACCTCCATTATCTTCACCTTCGCAGCCGACAACAACTCGCCTGCCGGGTATCGAATCCTTTGACCATGTTCCACCACGCCTGGAATACAATCGAGAACGAGAGGCCAGCCCAAGGAGTTATGACCGCCACCCCTACCAGCCTCAACCATACTCCCAACCGCCACCCCCGCCGTCACACCTGATGGGCAGCGCCCCATTCGCACCGACGTTCAATGCTGGTCCCCGGCCCGCCCCGCCATTCTCTGGTGCAGAGCATAGGCGCGGCCAGTTATCTCTAGATACCACCTTACAGCGCACCTTGACTAGACTAGACCTCCACGGCAACAGTAGTTCTGGTGGTAGTGCCAAGGACGCAGCAAGTTGGAGCCAAGCAACGATGGGTGAACTGCAAAGTATTGGCTCACGGCCATCCACGGGAGCCGGTACTGGTCCCCTGAAGGAAGATGAAGATGAGATGGAAGCAGACGAAGGACCTGGACCAAGTGTTCCTACCGAAACATCCCCTACACATCACCAGCCAGTACAATATGAGATGAATGCAGCAGATTACCATTCACACAGAGTTCATCAGCTACTACTACAACAGCAGCAAGAGCAGCAGCATCAGCAACTGCTTCCCACTACGACTAGCGGTGGTGAAGGATTAGGCCGTCTACAAGCCTTGGTCGACGTTGCTACGAGTGAAACCGAACAAGCAAAATATAAACCTGACGATCCGGCTCAAGGATAACGGTCATTCCATTATGCGGTACAACGGGGTGATTATAATGATTGGAATACTTGGGTCGCTTTCTTTATACTCCTTATTTCCTTTCTTTTTTGATTCTCCTCTCTTTTGCTTTACATATATTCATCCATACATCCATACCCATACATAAGACGGCCTCTAAACCTTGTCTTTCAATACTGTTCTCACTCTTTCTTTTCTTCATTCTGTACCTTTCCCCCCAGTTTGTGCTTTGGCTTTCGTTTCCTGAGACTATGCACCATTTACTGTTCATTGCTCTTGGTGGTATTTTGTTTATCCACCATCTCTTTGTCCTGTCAAAAAAAAAATATCTTCTGTTTCATTGCTTTATGTCTTATTCCGTTTATCCATGACTGGTATTGCTTGTCCCAAGCAATACTCGGCTATTTGCTTATTTTTATGCTATGGGTTATTCTTATGTGGTGACACGGCATGGTATGAATTATTTACTTAGGCTGTTCTCTCTTCTGTTCTGTTCTGCTCTTCGGATCCTCGCTTCTTCTTCTCCTTTACTCTTTAATTTCTGTTCGGTCGCTTGAATATCGAGTTTACAACAAAAAAGTTATCTTGAAGAGGGTTGAATGAGGATCAAGGAATGACGAGTTGGATGAAGAATGCTGCAATGAATTGAAACGAATTAATGACTTTCTTGCTTTTACCACTTTTGATGCTTCTACTTTCGTTCTTTTGTCCCCCATTCTTTCCTCTGCTTGTCTCCTTTCTTCACTTCTTGGTCTGTTTTATTTACCTAATCTTGGAAATAGGGGTTTTTGGTCTGCTCTTCTGCATTCATGGCATATTACTACTCATTTACCACCAAATTAATACTCCATCACTCTCATTACCTGGCTCTTCTTTACCCACGGCCCTTCTTCCATCGACCCAGCCGGTCATTCACTGTGTTGATGATACTCTCTTATTTCTTTCTTCCCCTTTGAACGTCGGGATACGAATGAAAGCCTCAATGAATTAGACACATACATAGCACTATGATACCCCATTGTTGCAAGAACCAGATACCTACGCCACTGAAATTGAGCGGTGGTGGAATTTTATGCTTGATTCCGTGCATATGAGTTGTGGGCCTTGATATTTGACTGGGGTTGGCCATCCAATAACAAGTGGATGAATTTTGTATATTTGGGACTTAAACATGACCATTCTATTTGGCAGCTTTATATATCAATATATTGATTGTATGAGATCTCGAAGATAATAATCCATTCATTCACAAATATATCATTGTACAAAGTACCATTATTAAATGTCGACTATCTTATCAAATGCTTTGTATTCTAAATCAATGACTATCTCATTGTCCCTTTAACTGATGTTATATAGATTTCCCAGATAGTCCATAATCCTATATCTTGCTTACAATTCTCGCATTGCTCAATCAATGAGGACTTGTAGCACTATCACATAGATATTTTCTCAATATACCAACCTGCGAAGGGTTGTTCTTAGCTTGCCGCCACATAATATCTAAGAGGCGAGTTTCAGCCTCCCGCAGAAGCCGAAAGTAACCCACGGGATACCAAGAGATATGGGTTCAGGGAGTCAACGGGCCGTGTCGGGAACGCCAGGAGGCGGCACGGGGAGGAATCATCCTGCCCCAATGAGGAGAGAAGGGGGGGCATCCCAGGACATGCGAGAAGAAACACCAATCGAAAAAGGAAACGATGTACACGAGGATGGCAATGGCTCAGACCGACACAGGGATAAGAGACAGAAGCGAAACGATAACGATGACCTACGCACTGGGTCTTTGCCCGGATCGAGCTCAGGGCCAGGAACAACGGATCAGAGGGTGGATTATGAACTGAAAATTAAACGGAGTGCGTCCGGGGTTGGCCCACAAACACATGATCCAGAGCTGTATGAGCAGATACAGAGGGATGCACGGGCAGGGGTATATATTGGTCCTGGAGCTAGCGTGGTGGCTCGATTTACGCCACACCAAGAACCACGGAGAGAGACATCTCATAGCCATGGCCATGCTACGTGCGACACCCTGACCCCTGGAGGAAGGAAGAGAGCAGGGGATGGCCAAGCTGAAACGGGTATTTCGGCTACAGACACATCAAGTGACGCTGATGAGCTCCCAGGGGTGAGAACAACGAAGAAACGACCTAGAGTGGAAGACAGCTCAGAGTCAAGTTCTGGCGTGGGTGAGAGCAGTAATACTGCCAAAATAGACAAGGGCAAGGGCAGGGCTGTTGAAGGAAATAATCGCTCTGATTCAGTTTACCATCCGAGACAAAGTGCTGCTGTGCCTGAATCTGGTGAGTTTTGGCAAAGCTTGTTCGATAAGGCAATTTTGATGCAGCAAATACTGACCATCCATTAATTAGCTGAGATTCTCATTTCAAGCGATCAAAGCCACAGAACTGAGTATGATCAATACGGAGTCAGGACGAAGGAGCGTCCAGTTCCATATCAATCATCAAAGTTCACACCTTCGCCAGGCGAGATTAAGACGCGGCCTGAACATATCCCATACAGCAGATTCTACCAAGAGAGGCTTGTAAAAAAGTTGCGGAGGGAGTTCGGTCGTATGGGCCGAAGACGCTTGCTGCTTCATTTCCCGCAGCCCACACATCCTACTCGGCGGATTAGAACGTGGAGTGCACCGGCCATCAGCCACCTGGGTAGGTTTGGTCAGACATTGGCTAGTGCCCTTCCATCTTGTCCACAGCTGACCAGGCCCGGTCGGCGAGTTGATCTCATTTACGATGGGAAGACACCCGTCGTAAAGGAGGAGAGATTGTCCGAGGAAGTGGATCTGAAACAGTTCCCTCTTCCATCTATCGAAGAAGAGCCTGAAGGTGAAGCAGGGACGCCAACAAGAAATGAGGTTGAGCGTCTGGTTTCAGGGAGCGTGTCACAGCAACCTCATGGCGAGGGTGAATCCGAAACTATAGTCGAGGGGCCACCCAGACGGGCTAGGAGACAGGCTGCTATCTCAGGAAGAGAGAAGATGCGGGAGCACACCGCACCCCCAGCACGACGCGGTACGCGAGGACCTGCTGCCAGAAAGACACCTGCTGCGCCTTCTGGAGAGGCACGGCCTGAGATAAGGGAGCAGATTTCAGTAGAAATTCCAGTTGCCGTCCCTGAAGAAGATGATCACGAGGAGCAAGCTGAAAGCAGCACCCGAACCAAGCGAGCCACGACGAGCAGCGCAAAGAGCAAAGCTCCCAGTAAAGCCCCTAAGGAGAAAAAGGCCACTCCCGCGCCCAAAACAGCTAAAGCAACAAAGGTAACCAAAGCAGCTCCTAAAAAGCCAGCTGCAAAGGCGAAGACGCAGGCTAGGGGCAAAGCCGCTCCCAAACCAACAGCCGTCAGCAAGGCAGCCAAAGGACGCGCTGGGAAGAAAGGGGAGTGATAGTCCGCAGTTCCTGTCTGTACGTTATATGTTGTAGCTATGGGTATCTTGGTGTTTAGTCTAAGTTTATAATAGGCGTTTTAGAGTCCTATTACCATCTTCTCTTCGCTTCTCTTCTTCTGCTCTTTTATTGTCGTTCTTCATCGTCGTCTTTTGATATCAAAATATACGTCATAAAAAGAAGCGCCCGAAGACGCGTGTTCACGTGACCCTAAATTCGATTAAAGTCGAGTCGCGTTGAAAACTTGCAGAAGCCGATTGAAGCTGATGGACAATTTATAGACTTGGAGGAGGGAAGAAGGATTGATTATATTCTAGTTTCTTATAGTCGCGTTTGTTCATTGGAAAGGTAGCTTCAGTTATATTATGGCGTCTCGTCCCGAGCTGAAGGTGAGTGTTACTTTCAACTGCAATCTATCACTAGAATAATCGCGAGCTAACGACGTCTACAGGTCGACGATGAGGTCGGATTTATTAAATTCTTCCGTTCATTGAATGCCGAAGATGAGTCTACAGTGCGCGTGTTTGATCGTGGTGACTGGTACACTGCCCACGGCGCAGATGCAGAGTACATTGCTCGCACAGTCTACAAGACTACATCTGTGATACGGACGCTGGGACGAAGCGACAGCGGGTTGGCATCGGTGACATTGTCAATCACTGTCTTTCGATCCTTTCTACGAGAAGCCCTTTTTCGTCTAAATAAGCGAGTGCAAATATGGTCGTCACAAAACGGTGCTTCAGGAAGGGGCTGGAAGCTGGCAAAGCAAGCCAGCCCAGGAAACTTGCAGGATGTGGAGGAGGAGCTAGGAGGAGCTTCTGGAGGAAATGCAATGGACACTGCACCTATCATTCTTGCTGTGAAGGCTGCCACAAAGGCCAAAGAGATGAGACATGTTGGCGTATGCTTTGCGGATGCGAGTGTACGCGAACTGGGGGTCAGCGAGTTCGTTGATAATGACCTCTACTCCAATTTCGAGTCGCTACTTATCCAGCTCGGAGTAAAGGAGTGTTTGATACCTGCTGAGGGACAGAAGAAGGACGTTGAGCTAGCAAAGCTAAGACAGATTGCTGACAGCTGCGGAGTGGCTATTACAGAACGGCCGGCCGGTGCCTTTGGGACCAAGGACATTGAGCAGGACTTATCAAGACTGCTGAAGGATGAGACTGGACCTGCTATGCTACCACAAACAGACCTTAAGTTGGCTATGGGCTCTGCTTCTGCTTTGATCAGCTACCTCAACTCAATGTCCGACCCTTCCAACTTCGGCCAATATCAGCTCTATAAGCATGACTTGGCACAGTACATGAAGCTTGATGCATCTGCGCTCAGGGCATTGAACCTCATGCCTGGACCTCGGGATAGCATGAAGAACATGAGTCTCTATGGGCTACTAAATCACTGCAAGACGCCTGTTGGAGGCCGGTTGTTGGCCCAATGGCTGAAGCAACCACTGATGAATCACAAGGATATTGAGAAACGGCAGCAGCTAGTCGAGGCCTTTGTCACAGACACCGAGTTGAGACAGACCATGCAGGAGAATCATCTTCGATCCATACCTGATCTATATAGACTGGCCAAACGTTTCCAGCGTGGCAAAGCCAATTTGGAGGATGTTGTTCGTGTCTATCAAGTGGTCATTCGTATACCGGGTTTCATTAATTCGTTCGAGGGGGTGATGGATGAGCAGTATCAAACACCACTGGATGCAGAATATACCGATAAGCTGCGAAAACTCTCACAAGATTTAGGGAAACTAGCTGAGATGGTTGAGACGACGGTCGACCTAGAGGCTTTGGACAACCATGAGTTCATCATCAAGCCCGAGTTTGACGATAGTCTACGGATAATCAGGAAGAAACTTGACAAGTTGAGACATGATATGGACTCCGAACATAGGAGAGTTGGCCGGGATCTTGGCCAGGACACGGAGAAGAAACTTTTCCTTGAAAATCATAGAGTGCATGGCTGGTGCTTCAGGTTGACTCGAAATGTGAGTAGTAGAGAAGTGTGGTTATCTTGTTGATATGTCTTCCATACTAATATACCGCAGGAAGCTGGGTGTATTCGCAATAAGCGAGAGTACCAGGAGTGCTCAACGCAGAAGAATGGAGTATACTTCACGACATCAACCATGCAGGCACTACGACGAGAGCACGACCAGCTCTCAATGAACTATAACCGGACACAGACCGGGCTTGTCGGCGAGGTTGTCAACGTTGCAGCCTCCTATTGCCCCTTACTCGAGCAGCTAGCTGGAATCCTGGCACATCTTGACGTAATAGTGAGCTTTGCTCATGTATCAGCACACGCACCAACGGCATATGTGAGGCCCAAAATTCACCCGCGAGGAACGGGCAATACCATCCTCAAGGAAGCGCGTCATCCTTGCATGGAAATGCAGGATGATATCACTTTCATCACCAACGATGTCTCTTTGATCAGAGACGAATCCTCCTTTTTGATCATCACGGGTCCCAACATGGGTGGCAAGTCTACCTACATTAGACAGATAGGAGTCATTGCACTCATGGCACAGACCGGATGTTTTGTTCCCTGTTCAGAGGCAGAACTCACGATCTTTGACAGCATCCTGGCCCGAGTCGGTGCCAGTGACTCTCAGCTAAAGGGAGTATCAACCTTCATGGCAGAGATGCTTGAGACCGCGAATATTCTGAAGTCAGCAACTTCTGAATCTCTAATCATAATTGATGAGCTGGGCCGAGGAACAAGCACGTATGATGGCTTTGGTCTTGCATGGGCGATCTCAGAACACATCGTGACGGAGATTAAATGTTTCAGCTTATTTGCTACGCATTTCCATGAGCTCACGGCGCTGGAGGAACGGTACCCCAAGGCCGTGAGCAATCTGCATGTGGTAGCATTCATCGGCGACGGACCAGCGGCAGAAGGGAAGCAGAAAAAGAATCAAGAAGTCACGCTGCTATACCGAGTCGAACCAGGAGTCTGTGACCAGTCCTTTGGCATCCACGTTGCGGAGCTGGTCAGATTCCCGGACAAGGTGGTCAACATGGCTCGTCAGAAGGCAGAGGAGCTTGAGGACTTTACCTCCTCTGGAGCTGATGGTGACAGGAAGCAAAAGACCGCAGCGGCGGTGGAGAAGTTCACTGCTGAGGAGGTTGCGGAGGGCAATGCGCTGTTGAAGGCGATGCTGGTCAAGTGGAAGGCGGAAGTCGAGGCTCCTGGTAACGAGAAGATGAGCGTGGAGGAGAAGAAGCAGCGGCTACGGGAGCTTGTTGCAGCGGATGAGAAGCTGCAGGCCAACAAGGTGTTTTTGGATATCAAGGCTTTATAATAGATATATAACTACAGCATAAATGGCGTTAATAGCGAGGACAGTATCTAATGAAACTATCTCTTCAACTATTGACTCGATCACATACCCGTAGTTATATTGGAAGTAGAGGATGTCTACTGTCTACGGCTATCTAGTTGATTATCTATATGTGGTTAATCTCGCTGTAGTTAAGCGCCATTTTGGGTTATCGATAACTTTAAAAAAAAAAAAAAAAAAAAAAAAAATCAGCGGACGACCGCAAGCAAGAACTTTGTCCTGACCCCAGAATCCAACCACCGGCAAAGCTATCCACGGCTTCACGATAGTCGCTATCGACATATCCGTACGTCCATCCGTCAATTGAAGCCTCACCGTGGCAAGCGCGGCGCCTAGCAGGCCTTGATTCATGCACCCCTTCTCCGTCTTTGCGTTCAGCATCTTCGTCGCTGGCTACATCACCGCACGTTGGGACCTGGTTACTAGACTGTACGAGCTCGCCATCTTCGCTTGGGACCACGGAGTCGTCGTAAGTCTATAACTGTGCTGCGGCTAATGGGTAGTAAACTAATTGATCAATGATGGCAGACCCGCGCGGCTAGAGGATTCCTGGTTCTGTCGATATTCTTCGCTGCCCTACTTGTACCGCTCAACCATATTGTGACTAGGGAGCTTAAAGTGGTAAATATAACCTATCCACAGTATAATAAATGGGGGACGGGTTTATGGTGGTGACGATGGCATGCGCGGATAGCTGATGTGCTGAATAGCACCCTCGTTCTGTGCACCACGGGATATCTGCGCGCGAACAGCTCAGACGGCGCGGGTCTTTCTAGGCTGACGAAAGAGGGGATAAGGGGGAGAGAGAATGACAGCATGGTGATGAATGATGGCCTGCTACGGGTGTTCTGGCCATATGAAGTTGCGTTGTCTGATGCGCCGGGGGTGATTGTTGGATGGAGGAATTCTGAATTCGACTTGTTTGTTGTCTCTGTGCTGGAGCATGTTGAAGTAGAACCTTACCATACCCATATCCGCAGGGAGGAAATGAGACGATGCTGATATGGTGATAGGCACGCAATGTGGAAAATGCGCTGAGGACGGGGATACTGTATCGCAACAGCCCGCATCCGATATCTCGCATCTTCGGGCTATGCGGGAAGCCAGTGATGCATGTGCTCGGATCTACGAACGCAGCAGAGGTGCCCACGGCGTTTACCACGTCGCATATCCATGTTACTACGAGCCCGTCGACGGGAGTGCCGCTGATATACTGTCCTCCAAACGTGAAGCTACCGCTGCAAGTAATCATGTTCAACCGCCCACACCCAACGAAGATGCAGTACATGTCTCTACGACCTATCCCGCTGGCCCTGGGCGACAAGCACACCACCTTCGACAAGGGCGGCGGCGAGACGACGCTGGATGAAGTCGAGGTGGTTGAGAGAGAGGCGCGGGCCCAGACAGCCCGACTGATAGCCAAACGGCGCCTGGTGACGGTGGTCAAGCATGTGCCCTCGTCCAAGGAGCAAGCGCTCCCCGTGCTGATCAACCAAATCAACTGCTCGTTTGAGATGGACAGGCTGCTCCAGAGCAACATCGGGCTGATCGGGACACGGCCCAAGCGGGCGCTGAGCGTGAGCCAGCGGGTAGTCGAGTCCGCGACGACGGCGTGGGGAGTGGTGCTCTGGGGCATCACGTACGTGGCGATGGTGTGGATATACCCGATCATCACCAAGGGGTTTATAGCGTGCCTGATCGGCCACCGGGTGATTGCCGAAGTGGTGCTGAGGATCCTTGAGTGGCGGGCTGCCCCTGACGCCGCTGCGTTGAAGGACATATCTGCCACGGCGCAGCAGATTGATATCCGGCTGCAGCAGTTCTGCTACTGGCCGATCCAGTATCTGACGCTGCGCAAGCGCAAGGACGACTGGGAGAGCGTGACGAACAGCCATCCGGACTATATCCGGTTCTACAACAGCTTGTGGCTGGTGGCTAATGATGTGATTATCGGGATAGCGCTGGGGTCGTATATCGTGGACAATGCGGACAATGTGGCGTCTGAGATCAATGCGGTGCTTACGGGGTGGACGGTGGATGGGCTGCAGCAGACGATCTCCTGGCTGATGGGCTGGCCTGCCGGGCTGAAGCTGAACAACGAGCTGGCCGTCTTCCTGGGCGATCTCTTCCTCTGGGTCATTGCCCACTGGGCTAGTAAGAACCATATACTCTATACCTATGTTTGATATATGTACTAATGGTGTAGGCGCACTGGCGAGCCTGAGGCCGTTCCTGTCGTATGTAGTGTACATCATCGGGTGTGCCAGCTTCGCGGGAGCCAGCATGTCGATAGCGATGTTCTCTGACCTGCTGTCCATTTTCACGGTGCACATCTACAGCTTCTACATTGCGTCTGCGCGCATCTTCAACTGGCAGCTGACGATCATCATCTCGCTGTTCCATCTCTTCCGCGGCCGCAAGCGCAACATCCTGCGCAACCGCATTGACTCCTGCGACTACGACCTGGACCAACTGCTGCTGGGGACCATCTTGTTCACCCTGCTGTTCTTCCTGCTGCCTACGGTGCTGGTGTTCTACATCACCTTTGCGTCTGCGAGGATGGCCATTATCTCCCTGAAGGCCGGGCTGGACACTTGTCTGGCCTTTCTCAACCATTTCCCCTTGTTTGCACTGATGCTGCGACTCAAGGACTCTCGACGACTCCCTGGTACGTTTCTCCTTATTACTTTGTGGCATGTGTATTGACATATGTTCAGGGGGCACTCGCTTTGAGCTACGACGGCCGTCTCTTCCACCACCGCCCAACGACCAACTCGAGTACACCGAGACATCCTACATCCACCTCAAAGTAAGCCCATCTCTTTATCTTTGTTATGATATTATAGTACTAACATCGTCTAGTCCGTCCCGTTGAGTCTGAGAGAAATGTTCGACCAGTACTTCCGCCTCGGCCAGCGCATCAGACAGCACTACCTGTCCCCGCGGGTGATCCTCTGTCTGGCAACCGGCCAGTTCGTTCCCCCCATCCACCGACGCAACCTGTACAGTCTGCAGTACAGCATGCTGCCTGCCCAGCGAGTGGGCATCGTCGACGTCTGGTCCCGGCTGACTGCAAAGAGCTCGACGGGGGGAGGCAGCAGCGGCGGGAGCGGCCCAGCAGGCAGCTCCTCAGGGGTTCCTTTGTCTTTCCCCCGGGGCTCAACGTTTCCCTTTGACAGGCGGAGGAGATAACCACTACCATAATACCATAATGCTATAATACTCCATCTTCGTCTCTTTTCCTTCTCTTCACCCCGTCCTTTGTAGACCTGTGAAGGCCTTTGTAAGCCTTTGTAGACTGTAGTGACTCCCACCTTCACCCTTTTACTCTTCTCTTCACAGCATCTCCATCCATTGTCCATCCATTGCCTATCGCCTGTCTATCCCTTTACTGTCTTCTTCACCATCCTCTTCACTGCCATCTTCACTGCCCTTTGCTGCTGTCGTCACTGTCTTCCCTTCTCTCCTGCATGACAAAGAATTCTTCACTCGTCGTCCTCCTCCTTCACTCCCTTCTAGCTCCTTCCGCCTCCCGGTCGTCGGGCTATAAAATCCCCTCAACTGTCTCTCTCGTCGACGCTTCCTCCTTCTTTCTTTCTCTCTCCTTCCTTCCTCATCCGCCGAGCTGGCTGCAGAGTGCAGAGAAAAGCTCGGCGGATGCTGGAAGAGCAGCCTATATAAAGACCGACGACGCCCCTCGACTCGCCCTTCTTTCTTCTTCTTTTCTTTTTCTTTTTCTTTTTTCTTTCTTTCTTTCTGCTCAACACGCAAGCTTCTCCTTTACTTCGATTAGCGCATCCAAGGCTTTGAGACAACCATAACAACTCGACCGCTACTATCGAGCCGTTCAAGACCTTGCATCGCAGCTCTCGACTTAAAAGGACGCCGCAACTCGATCCACGCGCTTCAGCAGCCGTTGCATCACTTCCGACACCCGCCAACGCCGTCGAGACAGCTTATCTTTTCTTCGTTACCCAAAAGAAAGAGAAGCAAGGCTCCGGCAGACCAGCAAGATGCACGGCAAGTGGACCGACGAGGAGGACTTCGCCATCGTGGCCCTACGCCTGGGGACAAACCTGAGCTGGGAGGGCATCAAAGCCAAGTTCGACGCTGCCTTCCCTCCAGCCAACTGCAAGGACCTCGAGTCCCGTTGGAACAAGACGCTCAGCCGACGCTGTCTCCAGGCCTAGGCAACCGTACTGCCTGCGCCTTCGACGACTACAGGCACTACCGACCGCGCC